CCCCCCCCCCCCCCCCCCCCCCCTCCTAAAGCCCACACGGATCAAAAAGCCCCAGGAGTGAAGTGCGTCATCTTTGAATCACTCAGACCACAAGCCCACGAGTTTCGGAACAAAAAAAAGCCCACAAGCCCTCAGGTTCACCGCGTCCTGTTCGGACAGACGGTATTCTCAGAAGCCCACATCTCAAAGCCACATCTGGAGAACAAGAGATGTGGTTTGGATCAAATGGTCCCGTCCGCTCTCAGAAAAAGAAGTCTTCGTGCCCACGAAATAACAAACAGAAGCCCACTGAAATGCCCTCGGAGTAACTCCCCACGCTTAGTCAAAAGAGATCTTGGTGCCCGAGAAGCCCGAGCCACCACCACGGCCACCGCCGAAGCCACCGCGGCCTCCGCCGCGACCACCTCCACGGCCACCGAAGCCGCCACCACCACCACCACCGCGGCCGCCGAAGCCACCACCACCGCCGCGGCCACCGAAGCCACCACGACCTCCACCACGGCCACCACCGCGGCCGCCGCCGAAGCCGCCGCCGCCGTTCTGGGGAGGACGCTGTCCGGCAAAGTCCAGACGGACATTGCGAGAGAAGCGACCGTTGCCGATAGGAGCACCGCTCTTGGCTTCGAAAGCAGACTTGGCATCCTCGATGGAGCCGAAGCTGACGTAGCCGAAGCCCTTGAGGTTACCGGAGTCGCTGTGATGATTTGTTAGTCTTCTCTTGTTCGTCAGGTATCACGTACGGGGGAACGAATGGTTCGATAGGAGTTACATACGGGTCAGTAGGCAGGCGCACGCTGACGACCTCGGCGACGTCACTGAAGAAGGCGCTGACGGTCTCCTGGTCAACGTCGAAGGGCAGGTTGCCGACAAAGAGGGTGTCGGACTCGGGGCTGACGGTGTCGCCGTGCTTCTGGGCGCGGTCTTGGGCCCTAGCCTGGGGGTTGGCGTCGGTGGGGCGGGGAGCAGCATAGTCGAGGTTCAGGGCACGGTTGTCGAGGAGCTCGCCGTTCATGGCCTCGAAAGCCTTGGTGGCGGCCTCGGGGGTGGCAAAGTCAACGTAGCCGAAGCCTTTGCTGCGGCCGCTGTTGCGGTCGCTGACGACGCGGGCGCTAGTCAGGCCCTCGAACTTCTTGAAGGCCTCGTAGAGGGCGTCGTCATCAACGTTCCAGCTCAGGCTGCCAGCGAACAGAGTAGAGGCGACGGGCTTCTCGGAGTCCGTCTTGGTCTTCTTGGAGCTGTCGTCGATCTCCTCGTCAGCCTTGCGCTTCTTGGAGGGAGCCTCGGCCTCGACCTTGGTCTCGGTCTCCTCAGAGTCGGAAGCATCAGAGTCGCTGTCCGAGTCGCTGCCCGACTTAGAGTCATCGGAGTCAGAGTCAGACGAATCGTCCTGCGGGGAAAAAGGGTTAGTTCAATTTGAGTTTCCAGTCGCAGTGAGATGAACGGCATGACGAACCTTGGTCTCCTCCTTGGCAGCAGCCTTGGCCTTGGCGGGCTTCTCCTCCTCCTCGCTGCTCTCCTCATCAGAATCAGAGTCGGAGTCGGAAGACTCAGCCTTGGCGGCCTTAGCCTTGCCGTTGGCCTTGCCGTTGGCCTTGGCAGTCTCCTTCTTCTCCTCTTCAGAGTCAGAGTCCGACTCGGAGTCGTCAGAGGCCTCGGAGTCAGAGTCAGAGTCAGAATCAGAGTCAGAAGACTCAGCCTTGGCGGCTTTGGTAGTCTTGGCCTTGCCGTTGGTGGCAGGCTTCTTCTCAGTCTTCTTGACCTCAACCTCAGACTCAGAGTCCGAAGAGTCGGAGCCGCTCTCCTCCTCGTCCGAGTCAGAGTCTGACTCGGACGAAGACTCAGGCTCGGGGGCCTTCTTCTTGGACTTCTTCTCGTCCTTCTTGGAGACCTTCTTGGAAACCTCCTTGGCGATGTCCTTAGACTTGGACTTGACAGTCTGCGAAGGCTTGGTGACGCCACCAGCCTTGACGGTGGTGAGAGCGTCGACAGACTTCTTGCTGTCCTTGGTGGTCTTTGTCTTGCCCATTATGTCTTTGATGTAGAGGGAATTAGGATAGACGAAGAAGAAAAGGGGAAGAAGATTCTGATAACTTTGTGTAGAATTCAGAATATTCTGATGGTATAGATGAGAGAGAAGAGAACTTTTTCGCAGCGGGAGGTGGGTAGGTTTTATGGCGGGTGGTTGGGGGGACCCTTTGAATTTTTTTTTCTGCCTTCGAACTTTTTTTTTTTTGTGTGGGTCCCCCTAGGGCGGTGTGGTGTACCACCAATCATGATGAAGAGGTACGTACCGCAATTGAGAATTTACGCCTGATCAATTGGGACGCGATATTTGTGATGAAGTATGGAGTATTATATGCACAGAGCATGTAGTCCGTAGTTCAAGCCGAATATGAGCTAACTCGATGCGACATATCTACTAGAGCTAGCACTACAGCACAGTAGTAACTACATAGCGCATCTAAGTGCAGTCCCAGGCCGCTGGTTTTCGTGACAGTAATGGTGGTATCCCATTCATAGAGTCAAGACCCATAGTACTGGAACCAAACATGTAGACCCCCCAGTCAAGGCGATTCCAACCCGATCGTTTCGGGGAGATATCATGTTGGCCTCAACAGTCTGTGGGGTTGAAAGTTCGTGCCCGCTGCGCAGCGTCGCAGCACGTGCTTCAGTGTACTGTACCGATGTGCTGCCCTGATCGGCCACGGCTAAAATTGAATCAGCTTATACCATTGCCAACGAAGAGACCATCGAGACGTCTACGAGATGCGAGAACACCCCGAGAGGTATAGGTAGACTCCCAACACACTTACGCATTCCATGGCAGTGATAAATTAGACGAACAGAGTATCGTCTGCGATATACGTGCTGGTATGACAAGCGAGTAGCCTTGAGAGTATATATACTTGCAGGTAATTGTGTGCTTACCCGGTCCTACTTATATACTATAGTGCCTCCATCGCGTGTGTGTGTGTGTGTACCTTGACAGAACGAAGTTGGAGTACATGAGTGAATGGCCTGGGCCGGGGTAACGCACGTGATCTGTGATTGGGGAAACAGAAAGCGGGATCCCCGACTGCAACACGCGCAGTACCTGTACCGAAACTGACCACATAATAATTCTCCTTCTCCATCTTGGACGATACCCCTTCCATAAAAAAGAACAAAACACCCCGTCGCATATTTTGGTGGTAGCTCCCAGCCAGACCAATTCCATCACCATGCCTACCGCCGAGTCCGAGAGCTTCAAGAGCATGAAGCCCACTGTGGCCCCGACTTTCAATGGAGTGGCCTACGACGACATGAAGGCCTTCAAGGCTGCCGAGGACTCCATCATTCGCGAGCAGTGGGTCGGTGCCATGATGACCCGTCTCGTCGGCGAGGAGCTGGGCAAGTGCTACAACCGTGAAGGTGTCAACCACCTTGAGAACTGCGGACACCTTCGAGGTAAGAGGGAAAAGAGCGAAACCCAACCACCCATCCCCCAGTCCCCTCAACATGGTACGATAAATAGCACAGCAATGGATGGATTTCAGCTGACACCAGATATCATTTTGTGTCTGAAAAAAAAAAATAGAACGATACCTTCAGCTTCTCGAATCCAACAAGATCAAGGGAACCAAGTTCCAGCAGCAAAACTACATCACCAAGCGCGACGAGGAGATTGACCTCGAGGCCAAGGTCCACCCCAGCAACAGGATTGCCCTTCTCAAGCAGGATCCCCGAGCCGCCCGACCCCAGTAAGGAACTGAGGGGGAGGGGGGGAGAAGAGGAGGGAAGAAGGCTGCATGATTTGAACCCGCCATTTGCCTTTTATGTATGTGTGTGCTCGTTCATATTTTTTCTTCTTCTTTTTGAGAGAAAAAAAGCAGCAGGAAAATATCGCCTTTGGGGGACGACGGAGATGTACATATTGAGTAGATCTATGGGCAAGTTTGTTGGCAGGCGGGAAGAAGGTGATGCTCTCTCTCCTGTAGTTGTTTGAGCGTGTAACATCATCAAGCAACAATGAAATCAGCAGCACGATGCGAGATTCACCCTCGCACAAATAAACATGTATCTCTCTTGTTCTCCCTCACTTCCGTCCCCCGCCGATTGCCCGTCAATTCCCCCACACTTTCTGGGGGAGGAGCCCAGAGCCCGCTGTCCCGGTCCGACTGGCAAATTGGCGCGAAGGCTGACGCTGTCCCATCCCCAACGCCTTGATTGGTCCGAGCGGGTCGGAACCCGCAGAGCTCCAAAATTTCAAAAATCGCGGTAGTAATTACTCGTCGTACCTTGAGACTCCCTCTCCTCTCTCTCTCTCTCTCTCCCCGAATCAGTGTTTCGTTCAAGACCACCACCGCCGCACGCGACACCATCTTCACCATGTTCTGCACACGGTGCTTCCGCGCCGCCCTACCGAGGGCCCAGGTGCCACTCGTACGAACCCTGTCGACATCTATGCCCCTGCGATCCGTCGCCGCGTCCAACCTCTCTACACCCGTGACAGCACCGGGAGAAGCAGCTACGACGACTGCGACGACGACAACCCCCCGCTCCTCCTGCCCCGAGGGTACCGTGATAACCGGTCTGAACTACTTAAAGGATGGTCAGGATCCTGTCGCCATGAAGGATGAGGATTATCCCGAGTGGCTGTGGGACTGTCTCTCCGTTATGAAGAGGTCCGATGCCGCAGATGATGAGGCCGGAGACGAGTTTTGTACGTTTAGCCTCCCACCTTTTGCCATCATTAACACCCCATCCCCCCCCCCAATAAAAGGAGCAAGAATGCTGATACACAATCCTTGTTGTCCAGCCAAATCAAAGAAGCAGCGTAAACTTGCTGGCAAGCGCAAGAGGGCCCACGATGCCAAACTCCTGGCCGAGGGCGACCTGGAGGCCCTGGAACCCAAGATCCCCATCCAGGAGCAGTCGATCAACCTCCCCGGTAACGAGAACGGCTCCGTCCAGGACAACATCGATGCCTCCCAGGCAAGGCAGGCCCTCAAGAGGGCCATGCGCATCGAGAGGAAGGCCAAGATCAAGGAGGCTAACTACCTCCAGTCCATGTAGGGGACTGGCTACTAGCGTTGGGAGACGGGAGCAGCGCTCCCTTGTATCATACTACGTATAACATATCGTGGGCGGATTTTCCTGTATCAACTAGACTAAGGGGGCAAAAATAAAGAATAAATGTACCAATGCTGCCATTGTACGTGTTCCTCTCCTCGGATGAGGATTCCTTTGTACATGCAACCTACTCACGTGTCAAGGCATACATATCCAGTAGTTTTTCTGAGTATTTTAAATCTAGCATACTATCTATCAATGATCTCGCTCCACGGACAAGTCCCGTGTGCTACACACCCTCCTGGGTTCCCTCGTACAAGAAATACACAAAATCTATCTAGAGCGCCTTCAAGTCAAGGGGCACGCTGCTCCCACGTCCAGCACGATACTGCTTAGGGCGGTGCGTCAGATCACGGGGCTTAGGGAACAGGTTCTCATCCTTGAAATTCCACCGCGAATCTGACACTATGATACGCTCACCGCTACCGCTGGACAGGGTCCCTCCGATACCAGGTGACGGTGAGCGGTTGCCCAGCGACATGGCCGAGTTCCTGGATCCTCCGTTGGAATTGAGAGTGAAGGAGCTGGGATCCAACATAGCCTGTCTGAGAGAACTGGCGCGTGTCCTTGTCGGTGTGCTTTCGGGAGGAGGAGGCGGCGAGCTGGCGTTTGGAGGGGGGGCGGGTGCAGATGGAGGAGGAGGCGGCGGTGCCGGTGGTGTAGAAGTCGCAGGGGATGGCGCCTGGCTTGCAGCTCGGACGGCCGCCTGGGCTGCCAGTGAGGGGGCGGAGCTCGACGCAGGCGGCGGCGGCGGAGGTGGCGGAGCGGCCGGAGCTGAGGATGGAGGAGGCGGAGGGGGAGCCATGGGAGTAGGAGCTGACGAGGCCGGCGGGGGAGGAGGCGGCGCCGGGGGTGCCGGTGCCGCCGAGGGGGGGGGAGGTGGCGATGTTGCCGTCAGTGCCGGAGAGGATGACGCCGAGAGACCAGAGGGCTTCCGAGGCGTAGGGACCGGAGGCTTCTTGGCGATGGGCGGCGGCGGCGGCTTCTTGTGGACCGTTGGGGGCCTCGGAGGGGGACTCGCCGGCCCCGGGAGCGCGGGCGGAGGAGCAGGCGGTCTGCCGGGGATGGCGGGTGCGGCGGCAGAAGGGGGCTTTGGAGCCGATCCGATCGGGGGTCTGGGAGCTGACGGAACAGGGGCACTGTTGTTCTCCGACTTGTACGACGAGTCGGCGTCAGCGCCCGTGTCGACGCCTCCCCTACTTTTCTTAAGCTTGGGCATGCCGCCGGCGAACAGGCCGCCTAGCTGGGGCGCCGCCTCTACGGGAGCTGCCGGAGCATCGCTAGCTGTCTTGGGTACGGACGGTGCTGAGCCGCCGGGAGGCTTGGGAGCGCCTCCCAGTCCCATGATGGGTACGGGAGGCGCACCACCGACAGGAGGACCAGCCGACGACGAGGACGACGAGGCAATCTGGGGAGCGGATCGGTCGTTGGTGACGGCCTTCTTAAGGGGCTTACCCTTGCTGATGTCGGACAGGAGAGCATTCTGGAAGCAAGATTGTCAGCTCTGCCATTGTTTTCGCCTAGGAGGAGGGTGTGTACGAGGTGACAGTACCCTGTTGGCAGTGGGAGGTGGTCGAGCAGGCAGACCTCCCGGCGGAGGAGGCGGAGGAGGAGGAGGACCACCAGCAGCCCCTGGCGGGGGTGGAGGGGGTGGCGGAGGGGGAGGCATGGCGTTCAGATCGTCCCTCTGGCTAGTATCGGATGTCTATTGAGGTGCTTTGTTGTTTTGTTTGGTACAGATGTTGGGAGAGAGACCTCAGAGTGCCATAGGGTTGTGGTCGCGCTTGCTGACGCCGTTGCAGTCCAAGTTAGGGAGAGAGAGGGTCGTCGCCAGCCAAGACGACGCAGGACAGAGATGTTGTAGGCTCCTGTCTCAGAGCTCTGTATGGGCGCTGTGTAAGTAATCAATTTCGAGAAAGAGGTGACGGTGCTGCATATGGTGTGTGAATGAGAGGAAAGAATGTGGGATTTTATGCGCAGAAAGGATGTTGTTGCTTTGAGAGGTTTCGAGGTTTCGTCATCTGGCAGAACAGAGATGACAGGCTTCTAGTTTTCAAGCGCTGATGCCCCGCTTTTCCCTGTCGCTGATAAGTCAGGCTCGGAGAATGGAAGAGAAGAGGCAGTGTCAGGGCAGAAATTACGAAAAATACGAAGAATAAGAACAAAGGGAAGGGAAGAAACCGACGGAAAAAATCAAATCAGGTATGACTAGTACCACTCGGACACTATAGCGTATTCTATTTACCTGTACTCCGTAGTAGTAGCAGCAGTAGTAGTAGTAGTAGTAGTACTGTTTCCTGATACGTTCCTGAGCTCCATGACCTTGGGCACAACGGGCCACAGCCATATGGCCATTGCCGATTACCCCGGGCAGTGTTCCCCAGCATGGGCTGCACAGTAATTGTGTCACTCCTACAGGCTCCAGGCCCACAGCACCCAAATCGTCCCCAATTGCTTCCTCTTTCCCCATCCTCATCCTCGGCACTCGTCGGAGCGGCAGCGTCAATTGAATCGAGAGTTGCAAGGCTCTGTATCGCATGGCCTGCGGATCTTTACTGTCAAAGGAACATACAAATCATAGACAGCGTCACAATGCGACGAGCCACTCCCCGCCAACTCGGCTCGGTCTGCCAGCTCTGTTCAACGACACCGGCAACAACCCTTGGAGCCGGTGCCCGTCGCGTCTCGTCACGGCTTGACTTCCCTCGTCAGGCTGCGTCCATCAGACTATCTGGAGCAAGATGGATGGCGTCGGCTGCTTCCCCTAGCAATAACACGGCTGCCTCAGCTGTGCCTGCCCGGATAGTAGCACCAGTAGTGCCTGCTACCAAAGGAACCCGACCGATCGCGAACCCCGCCCAGCTGGCGAGCAAGGCCGAGCAAGGACTCAAAGCTTTCGTCACCGCTGTCAGAGACGGACCGAACAAGCAGGCGGCCAAGTCGGCTCTGGAGTCGTGCCTGCAGTACGCGAGTACACTGCACCCGCAACTTCGGCGGGCCAACAGTGCAGCCAAAGCGTCTGCATCGCGACTGGCCATGCTGGGAGGCGAACGCAGCGGGACCACCTTTGACGTGGATACAGACCTGGGCGTGGCGAGCAGCAAGATCTCGCAGGCAGCGTACAGCGTCATCTCCCACCCCAATGTTGAGATGACACCCGACATGCTAGAGCTGTACGTGCACACGCAGGCACAGCTGGGGCGGGCCGAGACGCTTCCAGCCGTGCTAGAAATGTACGCGCACAAGGCCAAGCCCGTCGTCAAAGACGGCGGTGTGGTGCAGTATGTGGCGCAGAATCCCGACGCCGCCGCCAAGGCCGTCGAGAAGGACGTGGCCGACCTGGCCCTGCAGACGGCTATCGACGCCAAGAATCTCGACGCTGCGCTGGGCATCACCGAGGCGGCCTTCTGCACCAAGGCATTCAAGCGCCAGAAGCTCATCAAGAGGGGCACCGCGCCCGCCATGACCCTAGCCGCCGTCCCCTTTGGCGTCCTGGGCCTGGGAACCATCTACGCTACCCACTGGCAAAACACCATGGATCTCACCACCGCCACGGCCATCGGCGTCGCCGGAATCTCGGGCTACGTCTTCGTCACTGGCTCCCTGGGTATCATCGCCAAGCTTAGCCACAAGTCTCAGATGAAGCGCGTCACCTGGCTTCCGGGAACGCCCCTGCGCTACCGGTGGATGCGCGAGGAGGAGCGGGAGGCCCTCGACAAGATTGCCTGCGCCTGGGGATTCAAGGAGTCATGGCGTCATGGGGAAGAGACGGGACCTGAGTGGGAAGGTCTCAGGGAGTACATGGGCTACCGCCAGATGCTGTTGGATCGTGTCGAGTTTATGGAAGGCATGAACTAGCAGCGGGTCCTATCTCCCTCTTTCTTGCCAGTACTACTTTCCCCTCTGGATTATGTGTAGAAATATCACAATGTACAGTACTCCTACTCAACATCTGCCCACCATTCTCTGCCATGCTGTCGTCATCACTCCCTGCTTCGATTTTTCAATGAGCTTTTTTCTTGTCGTCCGTTCATCTCTTGTCTACTGCTGCTGCATCACGTCCAGTATCTTCCTCCCCTTCGTCTATATTACCAACAACTGTGACATATTCTTCACCCCATCCTTGATAGGATCGACATCATACTTGCAATAAATTCCCCACAATGGATGGCAGTCGAGAACAATCGGACGGAGCAACCGAGGCCATCCCGGACGAACAGCGCCCTGGACCGGCGAGAGGATTTCGCTACGTTGACGGACAAGCCGTCGTCGGTTTATCCTGGGAAGACCAGACCTTTTACGAGGCATTCTCTAACGACCGTCGTCGCAAGCTCCGTCGCAAGACGGACTATCGTCTTCTACCCACCCTGTGTATCCTCTACTTATGTGCCCAGCTCGATCGCGGCAACATTGGCAATGCCAAGATTGAAGGTCTCCAAAAGGACACGAACATGACTGGATTGCAGTATAATACGGCTCTCGGGATTTTTTTCTGCCCCTATTGTCTTCTTGGTCAGTCCCTATCCCAGATATGCGGTCCATGATGCTTTCTTGACCGGTACTGATGCTTAAAGGTTGTGCTGCCAAAGAGGTTCCGAGCAACATGTTTTTAAAAAGACTCTCAAGGCCGTCTCGGTACATTTCTTTCCTCGTAATTTCTTGGGGAGTAGTTATGCTTTGCCATGCATTTGTCCGAAACTTTGCGCAGTTGATGGTTATGCGCCTTCTTCTCGGATGCTTTGAGTATGCCTTCCTTCCCCTTCCCCCTCGTCTTTTCTGCCCTGGCTGACGTTGCCATCATCACGACCAAAGATCTGGCTTCTTCCCCGCTGCTACATACATGTGCAGTCAGTGGTACCCACGTGAACACGTTGCCTTTCGCATGTCCCTCTTCATGGCATTCGCAGCAGCTTCGGGCACCTTTTCCGGTCTGTTGGCCGCTGCCATCGCCAAAATGGGTGGAAAAGGCGGGCTCGCGTCATGGAGCTAGATATTTCTCGTCGAGGGCTCCTCCACAATTGGACTGGGACTGATCAGTTTGTTCTCTCTCCTCGACTTACCCGGTCAGTCCACCAAGTGGCTCACATCAGACGAGATCCGGTACCTCGAAATCCAGAACCGCGCAAAAGGCGGCGGTTGGCACGCCGACGCCGGTCAGGAAAGGAGCCAGTGGGAGGAGCTCAAATCCATTCTGCTCGACTAGAGGTATTGGGCTTTTGGTGCGATGCTTCACAATGTCGCTGCCTGCGGTCTAGGTATGTGTATCATACGGCAGCCGCGACGGAGAAACGAGAGTCTGTTCTTGAACTGACTATAGCAGGCCTCAGGTTAGCTGTGCCCTCCATTATCAAGGGCCTTGGATTCACCAAAACCCGGTCTCAGCTCATCGGCTCCATCCCTTATATCTCTGGCGTCATTTCATCGCTCCTGGTCACGTTTGTATCCGGCCGTACAGCCAAGAAGTGGCACATTGTTGCTGGCTGCTGGGGGTGCATTGCCATGGGATTCACCATTGCCATCATTGTGGTCAATGTCGCCCAGAACAAGGCACCTGGTGTTGTTGCCGGTATGTCTTTCGTCACCAGTGGTGTCTTTCCCATGGCCCCCATCAGCGGGAGCTGGGCCTCCATGAACCTAGGAGACTCAACTCGTCGTGCCATCGGTATCGGCTTCATTATGGGCCTTGGAAGTCTTGGAGGCGTCACGGGATCCTTTATATACCGCGACAGCGACTCTCCGTATTTCCATCTTGGCTACGGTCTCTCCTTGGGCCTCGCCATTGTTGGTCTGGTTATCACGACAGTGCTTGCCCTATCGTACTCTGTTACGAACAGGAAGAAGCGCAGAACTCTAGAGTCTGGAATACGAGGAAAACATACCGAGGGCGGACCTGCGGCTGTAGGAACGGAGTCGCCATTGTTCCTATACACGCTTTAGGGCGTTGATCATGGTGGTGGCGGTGGTGGTAGTGATGACGGGCGACGACGACGCTACGCCTCTGGAAGTCATCCTTTTATCGAAAAACGATGAAGCATGTATCCATGGCCGCACTTTTCCATTCTCATAAACGACACGCATCTGCGTCGTCTTGACAACAGTTCCCATGTTGCTGTTTACTTCTACATCCAGGGGCATCTCTTCCAGATGAGGTATTCGCTACTGCCTATACGGGACCGGGCGTCAGCAACATGGCTAACAGTTCTGCGGTGGCTTAGTCCTTGGTAGGGGTGCCAGATGAATTCCTAGTCGCTGTCAATGCTTGCCCCCCCCCCCCCCCCCTTTTGAGTCCCCAGTGTGGTGCATTGTTGAAAGCGGGCGAAGTACTTGTGGTGGAGGGTCTCAAACTGGGCAAGGCAGAAAAGGACAGCCAGGAGAGTGGCAAGAGGCATATGGGGAGACAGGCATATACTATAGTAACATTATCCTCCATGGTAGTCCACATGGACGATGCTATGTCATCTAACTCATCATCACTAGTCGGTCATGATGTAGAGGACATGACGGAGCAGGGAGGGCAAGCATATTGTATCAACAGCTTTTGTCGAGAAATTAAGAGTTGCAGCAACAGAGAATGGACATCATGGTGACGCTGTGAGCGACGCGCGGTTAGTAGATGGGGGTCGCATGGGTGGTAGGAGGATGAGGACATCGATAGCGATGGAAAGGCCAGTTTTGGTGTGCCAATTCAGGCTGAGGCTAAAAGGTTTTCACAGCATAGAGAATGTACGAGTAGATGCAGACAAAGGTCTGTAAACAAAGTTGGGGAAGGTGCGTCGAAACAGCGCCTTCCTGGTCAGACCGGTCTTCCCTGCCACGTGGGCGGGTCTTTCCTTCCTTTTCATACTTTTCCTTTCCCCCGCTTGATCCTCAACAGCTCGTACTCGGAAAAAAACACTTACAGACTCGCCGTCCTCTCTGGATAAGAAGACATCGACCTCTACATCTGACGTCTAACAGTGTAGACTTTGATCATCGGCAGCAACATCCAAATGGATCGGGCTCGATTGGACCCAGGATCTCCTCCATGAGAACCCATCGTCCACACGGACCAGCTCCACCACAGCGGACAACGGCCCGTCCGTCCCCACGCCCCTGCAGCCCACCACCGACAACCAACAAACATGAACAGCTGCGAGACAGTTTACTGTTGGTCCTAGACCATGGCAGACAACAGACAGGCTCGTAGCTCGAGGGGGACGGATGCAAAAAGGCCATGTCAGCCTCGGACAGTACTTGGCGTGTCATGGTAGCAGCTGATTATAAGCTCTGAGCGGGAGAATGCATCTCGGTGTGTAGATCATTCTTTCTTCACTGCGACGCTCCTGTGAACTCCCAAAGAGGTTACACTTGTTCCTCTGTTCTTCCTTCAAACTCGGCCCACCACGAGACTACCACCTCTCAAGCACATCTTCTCGGCAGCCGCAGCCGTGCTCTCGAGCATCGCACTGGTCCATGCCACAGACAGAATTGACAATGGACCCTTCCCGAACGATCTCGATGGGACCAACTTCACGTGCTAATGGCCCGTGAAGCTGTTCAAATTCTCCAGCTAGTCAAAGGGTCTGAAGATGGCCTTTGATGGATACCCCCCCCCCCCCCCCCCCAACAGTAATGCCTCGGAACCAGACCATCGTGACGCTGGACTACCGCATCATCGCGCCCAACCAGATTGGATCCTGCAAGAGCACCAATGTGGCCTCGTATCAGCATCGCACAATCTCTCACAGTTGGCACCCAACACGCATCGGCTTCTCGACTCGCTGGGCATGGGCAAGGTGACGGTCATCGGCCACTCCATGGGAGCCATGCTGGCGGCGCGGTTCGGTCTGCAGTACCCGGGCTCGGTGGACAGGCTAGTAACGGTCAACTCTCTAGCTTACGATGATTACGTAACCAAGAGCATCCCCTAGATCGAGGTCGAGGAAGGCGGTCCGACACGAAGAGCAGTCGGCGTACGAGTCGATCCGGACGTACGAGCAGTCGATATTACTACGCCGGGGGGGGGGGGGGGGGGGACTCGTACGACGTCTGGATCAGCATGATGGTCGTCCACAAGGGGTCGCAAAGGGACAACTTTAAGCCCGCATTGTCGGCATGGTGCTCACGCAGTCCGCGGCCAGACACTTTGCTGGGCTGACAATACTCACGCTCCTCATGAATAGAGAGAAGGACAGGACGGCCATTGGCTCGACCTGAGCGCCTCCCGATGTGGCAGACGAGTTGGGACATTTCGCCATGCTAGGTCCAGAGGTGGTCAGTCAGCTGCCCGACGGACACCTGATCCGGATCCCGGAGCTGGGACACGTGCCGCAAATCTCGTAATCCGTCGAGTCCCGCCGTGGATCGATGAGGTGGACATCTTTGTCATGAGTGATGGGGTAGTGAATTACTATCACCTCTTCTTTTTCCCCCCCTTTAATTCGGTTATTAGCTGGCAACAATTGAGACCTTGGTGATTGATGAGAGGGGAGAGAAGTGGGAGGGTGTCCGGGGAATCGGGAATACAAACAGGGGGCCCTGTCGGGGAGGGGGAGGGGGGCCGCTCTTTTGCTTCGCTCGCCTGTCCAATATTAATACGTACTCTACAAGTACAGAAGTACTCTGTCATGATCTCGCCTCCCGGGGGAAGGGATCGGACAGAAAAAAAAAGAAGGAGAGTGGAAAATGAAAGAAGTCCCAAGGTGCTGGACCCCTTGTCTCTAATAATACAAGTAGTATTATCAGTACGTGTGGCCCTGGACGTTGTACGCAACGCACATGTATGATGAGTATACAATTATTACCACTACTCTAGCAGTGAATTATGTCATAGACGTTGGAATGCGAGCAACAAAGATAAAGTACGTAACGACATGACGACATTTTGTGTCACCGCCTTCTCAGGGAAGAGGTAATAGTAACATTTTTCTCTTCCCATTCTTTTATTAAAATGGACCTACTACGAGAGGTAACGGAGTAGTGGCCGTAGTATGGCTGCCCGTCGTCGTTGTTACTGCATAAAGTGGTGATGCACGTGTGTCGCGCATATGATGATGCCTGACGGTTGGGTTTTGCGCCAGTCAAGGTGGGAGGTTGACGGCAGAAGTCATTACTACGAGTACGAATTACAGAGATGCAGCATGCACAGGTAATACTGGTAATATTGCTGCTACTACGAGTAATAATATTACCTCTGGGGGGAAGAAGAAGAAGAAAAAGACGCCAAATGAGAAAGAGTCACGTTGTAAATTGTAATAAATCAAACGAGAAATTACCCGGCAATTGTACCGTACACGCCACCCCTGAACAAGGAAGAGAGAGAGAGAGAGGTCTTGACCGTCACGAGATGATTTCTATTTTATTTATATGTATTTTTATTTAATTTTTTATCTTGTTCATCAATCTTGGGAATTGACAATAAAATTAACATGCTAACCTCTGAAAGATGTACATGTAATAGAAAAGGGCCTTACTACTACTCCGTACTAAATGCATATAAGGTATCCTCGTACTCTTTCTTGTACGGTCCCCTAATAAGAGAGAGGAGTCCCGATTCTCGCAATCGAATATTAAATACCGGTATCACATATATACGACCTCTAACACTCTGTTCCCTCCCCCAACCCCAAAGATCGATGCCCATATAAACATGCACCAACGTTATCTTCTTCTACCTTTAGTCTTTTAATACCCCATATTCATAATACTTCTTGTATTTCTAAGAAGAAGAAAAGGAACAACTATCTCTCTTCATCAGCCCAAAACCTTGTCCTTTTTTTTTTTGGCTGCCTGCCTCATCATATATTACCTCCCTCGCCAGAAAGCCAGAGCAACCAAAGCAGAAGCCATGGCCCAACCAAGAATATCCCGAAGCTCCAAACGCTCATCAGCACCACCGCCACTCCGAAGGGGCTCGTCGACCCAGACCCGGAACGCACAGGCCTCGCCCAACTCTCCCTACTCCCTCGTCATGCCGGATCCAGATACGGGACTCGACATGTTCCCCCGGCTACCGGAATTGCTAGACGACACATCCGCAGCGGCATCATCAGCAGCTGCAGAAGCGGCGGCGGCAAGGGTGCCGATACCTTCGCCCGGTCTATCGTACCGGGTAGCGATGGGCGTGCGGAGCCTGCTCGGATCGTCGCCCATCAACCTGTCCGTCGGTTCGGGGCAGAACCACGATCGGGATCACCACCAGCGTGCTAGCATCAGCAGCGGGAGCAGCAGCCCGGGCCACGTGTACTGTCGACATACGTGGGATCAGAGGTGCAGGTGCCCGGTCGTCATGGCCTTGGGGAACGGGGACTACTGCGAGGATTGTTGGTCTGGGAGGTGTGTCGGGGAGACGGTCAGATGAGGTGGGGAAGGACGACGACGACGACGACGACGACGACGACGACAACAATGTACAAAGAGAAGACGGGAAAGGAAAAGAAGAAAGAAGAGGGAAGAAAGAAGAAGAAGAAAAGAGAGGTATCTTGTCAAACATGTATAAATATATAAAGGTGTGGCGACATGTGCAAAATGCATATATAAACAAATAGAAACCAGAACAAAAAAAGAGAGAAGAACATGAAGAAGAAAAAAGAGAGACTAAGAAGTCACCCTTCTGACCCATAGGGTTCCAGACTCGTACGCATCCTCCCTGTCCTGTCGCTTGTACGCCCTGTGCAGCTTGAGTCCGAGCTGGTACTCCTGCTGCTGGATCTCGGCCAATTCCTCGCGCAGCTTCTCGACCTTGGCCTTCTCCTCGCCGCGCTTGCGCAGCACCTCTGTGCTCTCGAGCAGGCGGTCCGCCGGCATGAGCTCCGTCATCTGCTTGATGCTCATGCTGACGTTGTTGCGCCGGTGCGCCAGGGCGTCGAGCTTGACGCTGAGCACGGCCACGCGGTCCGTCGTGTCCACCATCTCCGGCGGGGCGGGGGGCAGGGCCTTGCTGAGCGACGCGATTGACGGGGGGCGGCCGGCTGTCGTCCGCGGCGTCATCATCACGTTGTCGCGGTGGTGGTCTGATGGGGGCGCAGCCTCTTCGCCTGTGCGGCCGTAGCCCGACGGTGTCCCGCCCCCTGACGACCCTCCGCCGGGACGTGACGTGGACGCGGTCGATAGGCTGAAGTGGGACTGGGAAGGCGGCAGGCTTGGTGGCGGCCCCGTCGCCGCTGAAGGCGCTGGTTTCCGCTTGATCGACTTGATGGAATTCAGTCGGGGCTGCTCGGCGGCGGCGGCGGCGAATGGCATCGCAGGGGGGGCACGGGGTGGTGAGGGAGCAGCCTCCTCGGGCGGGGATGATGACGGCGCCCTCGTGATCGTCGAGGTCGGTGGCGGCGCCGGCACCTGCGGAAGCTGAACCCTGCTGTTGACAGGCAGACTCAGCGGCGGCGCCTCGGGGTCGTCGTACACCGGTGGCGGAACGGTCTCCCGACCGCTGGCACCGTTCCAGGCCGGTCGGCTGTGCACCGGCACAGGTTTGCTCCCGCCGCCTAGCTGACGCATGCGCTGGCCCAGGGAGGCCATGGTCGGTGATAGTGGTTTGGATGTGGGTGGTCGGGATCGGTGAGCTGGTGATGATGACGATGGTGATGATGACGATGGTGCTGCCGAGACGGTCGAGACGTTGCCGTATGCCTGCTGGCGGTCAGGGCTGGGTGACCAGGCGGCAGTGCCAGGGGTGACGGCGCGGCTCTGCTCCTTGAATCTCTGCCGGCGCATCATGGGGATTCCGCTCTTGGGTGCCGGCTTCGACGAGGACAGGTGCGCTGGCGGCAGTGGCTGCTGTGGAGTTGGGCTTGGACCGGCGCGCGAGGCTGTGCCGGTGAGCAGCGTCTGGCGTTGTCGGCGGGCTTCGACATCTTCCCTGACGGGTGATACGTCGTTGTTGAGGGGGCTGAGGGAAGCCATGTCAGTTCAGTCCATGTACGATACGAGTAGTCGACAAGGGGGGGGGTAGGTAGAGGTACTCATGGTGGAGCTTGTGGGAGGGTGGGAGGGTCAACTTACCGGCCTGGTGTGGAGGTAACGAGAGGTCCCATCTCTGGTGAACTCGGAGGCGAGACGCCATTGTCATCGGTCTGACGTTGGCGGTGGGAATACATGGCTGCCGTGCTTCCCCGGGTGTGAGTTGTGCGTGTACGATCTGCTGTGTTATCTGCTGTACAGTTTCAATGTAATGGATGGAGTGACGTGTCGTGTGCGCCTGAGGGTGACGGATTGACGCGATATGTCGGCTTTCTTTTACTACTCTCTCACTGTGTGTACGTGTGCGTGCGTGCGTGTGTGTGTGTGTGTGTGTTGGAGGAATAAGAGAGATGTATTTATCCTGGGGAATATCGGTAGGAGGATGAGAGAGAAGAGAAGGGGAGGGAAGAACGAGGAGTGATGTGCGAAGTGATGTGGACAAGGACGAGGACAAAGAAGAGAGGGACGAGAGAAAAGAGGGGCACCGTCGTTGGGAATGTGTGCCTCGCGCTGATATTCAGTCTTACGGAGTACTTGAATAGTAATACTTGTAGTTAGCAATGGCAGCTCTCTCGACGCATGCGACGAGGCCGAAGTGACCCGATGCGTCGGGTATTGCACCCGTATTGCATGTATCATAATAATTCATCATCACATTGTATTGTGGCTGTATCAGGCCAATGTCTCCCTCCTATTAACTCTGCTTTGGGAGAGAATGTTGTCGTCCTGGGGGGGGGAGAATAAAGGAAAACGAAAAAAGAAATTTTTTTTTTTTGGAAAAATTGGACAAAATTTCAAGGCGAAAAAGGGATGGAAGAATAAGACGGGAGAGGACTGAAAACGGAAAATGTCCTCAGCATGTAACAATACAGCGTTCCGGGGACCACAAGACTATGTGCCAGATTGCGACCCTAGTCTTGGCCGTGTTTCATCGTTTCGCATCCCCTTGTCCCCTTGGCCGTCCCCGCAATAATTCGCAGTTCGAGTTACAGCTATGAGGGCCCATGGATCGATTTCGGGGTTCAGGTCCCAAGAAATTAGTATGGATTATAAATGGTAGGCCTACGGAGTATTACGCTCACCTGTACGGAGTACATCGTACATCGTACATGCACTCGCATGTATAATCATACTCTGTTATATTACCCTATATTTGCAGGTATTCACCGTACCGGCTGTCCTCTCTTCGGGAACCATGTGCATTGCCTCGACGCGGAGTTTCATCTAGAGTCTTTTGGATATCCGTCATCGGTGTGCTCTCAATACCGCTCGTACGTGTGAAAGACGGCGTTGCACAGACGCATGCATCCTCTCATCTACATATATCCTTGTATTCTTGTACCCGAGTAAGAATACTTGAATACATACTCGGATATTGACCATAATGCCCGCGAGATGATACATGTAGGCTTATCACAAGCCCGTACTGATATGACTTGTCCACATGGCTATCCGTGATCTCTATTGTATCCCCTATCTCGGACCGAGTGTCACTGACGTATGAGCTTCTCTCCACGTCGTTCATGTTGCCCCCCTCCCCCTCCCCCTCCCCTGTCCATCAGCTTGTAACGCATAAGAGTGATTTTTTTTATTATTATTCTGCGACATTGTTTAACCTTCTTACCTTGTTATCGAGTCGCACACCATGAAACTCGTTCGTTCACTCATTCAAAAAGATAGCCGTCATCTGCTCGGCTTACCTTATATGTGCATACCCATCTACTCATACCGGCAATGACCGCCCTTCCCCTCTCCCCCCCCCAAAAGTGGTATGTAGGGTAAGGGCATCTCTCTTGCCATCATCTAGGTCCAGAACAGACACGTCACGATCGGGATGTAGACGCAATTCATTACATTGATGCCGTTACTGCCCGCTGGTAGCATCTTCCCATCTTCCCAATCGAGTCGAGCCCCCCTTATTGTACCATGACAAAAGCAGCAGCAAAGACCACCATCTGCGTTGCCGTCGAAGCCAGTTGCACCCTCCCCCCACCGCTGGTCCCGTTACCATCATTGCCATCGCTGCCATCGTCATCGTCATCGTCATCGCTGCCATCCTTGTCCTCGGTCGATATGTCGTCCGCCATGCCCTGAGGCGTACACTCCGTCCCCTTTGCCGTGCTGACCACGATGCTCCACCGTCCGGCCGCGCACCTCTGCCACGAGTCGCCCATGCAGTTCCACTCTCCCTCCGACGAGCATGACGACCCGGGCTCTTGCTGATCGGCACGGCGGTGCGCGGGAACGGACACGGACACGGACGCGGACACGGGCACGGGCACGGGCACGGGGACACGGGACTCTGTCGGCCCCTTGTCCAGGTCTGCCATTGTCCTTCTCGTCGGCGGTTGCGCTGCTGCCGCTAGCATGGCCATCGTCATGACGAGCAGCAGTATGGGAGAGATCCTGGTCTCCATCGTGATGGGATGCGTGCTGTCTCCCTCCTTTCAATGCCCACATACACATCCCTCCCTAAGCGATCGTCGGGGAGAGGAGCGTAGATCTGATAACGTAGGTCTGATGATGATTTTCCGGATGGGGACGGATTGCTCGATGTGCTGTCATCTCACTTTCCTCTCCAGAGGAAAGACGGGGTGGGAGTGCTGGTATTATCGTGATGGGCATTGATGATATATACCGCTCTCCCTCCCCCCCCTCCAACTCCTCACCTTCTTTTCCCGCCATCAAGATCTCTCTCTCATCTTCCCTTCTTTGCCCCCCCCATTCTTTCCATACCTTCTTTCCATACCTTCTTACCTTCTTTCTCGGCTGACCGCTTGATGCCCAGCGGTGGAGTCGGCTGTACGTGCGTGCGTGTCTCTAATTGGGGGCGGGGTGTCTGGGCTTGGGCTCGGGTACGACTTTGTCATGGTCAACACGAGTCACTATCACTACTACACCGTACAAGGTGAGTCAAGTGATCCCTCTCGATTGATTCCTCGGGAAGGCGTTTTCTCTTCCCCTTTCTTTTTCCTCTTCTGTCTCCTATCTCTGCATGCATGTACGAGTGTCGGTACGTCGTATTCTGCCCTGAACCTTGCATATATCCATCCGTGCATGTCCGGACCAACAAAGAGTGTTTTCTCATCTATGCCGCCCTCCACTTTTTTTTTTTTTTTTTTTTTTTTTTCTTTTTTTCTCTCGCGTAGTCATCTCATGGTTGACAGAAAGAAGAGAGGAGAGGAGAGATAGCGGAAGGAGCGAGAAACAGAGGGGAAAGGAGAAGAGAGGAGAAGAGCACAGATAGTAAACAGCCCATGTGGCCATCCTCGCCCTCACCTCGGCCTGCCTCGATCTCCTACTGACCAACACGATCGATGCCCCCCGCCAGCCCCGCCACCACAAGCGCCAGGAGCAGAGCCGATACGGCCAGGACTGGGCCGTGCTGGCTGCCGTCCCCACCGGAGCCGCCGCCGGAGTGGTCCGCCAGCTCGACGGATTGGCCGGCACCACCAATGCCGGCCACCTTAAAAGCCGGTGTCCATCAGAGTGACTCGTTTCCGAAAGAGGAAGGCTGCTTGCTCGTATTCGTAGTAGCTGAGGGGGATGTCTTGCTCTTTTGGCGTACGTGTCTTGGAGAGCTTCGATTCTGCTGGAATGCGTCAAGATCTGTCAGCCGCGTTCAGTCATATCTATATACACCCCAGCCATTGGATATGCTCATACTCGATGGGCTCGAATGTACCTCTTCTCGTCTTGTGTTATCTTGGTTGTGAGACCTCTGGCGTCGAGAGAAACTTACGGAGGAGACGAAAGAGAGGAGACGGAAAAAAAAAGAGAGATGAAGCGACGAAGCAGAAATCAGCCTCTCCTCTATGCAATACTACAAATCTTCATATGCTGAGCGCATCTCAGATTGTCTGTCCCCGTGGGACCTTGTCCTCGCCACGCACCGTACTATTGTCCTCAGCGTCGCGCGGTAGGCTGCTACTCCCTTAGGCGGTAAACACGACACGAGAGATGCCATGAGTAAACGATATCAGATGAGATGGGTCACCGACGGTAGAGCAAACCATTGTCTGTGTAGCAGAAGAGGAAGATGCGATCCGTAACATATTGTTTTGTGTGATGTCACACTCTATATACTCGTAATTCTCTATTATGTGAATCAAGTCCCAATACTCCAATGCTATGAAAAAATCGATATACTGATATGTGAAAATTCGTATATGGCATCCAATCTTTCTTCTTCAAAAAATCATCACAATACTCGTTTTAATTTGTCAAACTTCGTCACCTGGAGCCAAGGCACTACACCCTGGAAGACTCGGTGCCGTTGCACCACTGACCGTCGGTTTTGCTCGCGGTAGGCGTAGCCCAAGAGGTGGGCGTGACGACGCTGGGCGTGACGACGCTGGGCAGCACGGCGGTGCTGCTGATGGAAGAAGAGGTTGAGCAAGAGGTCGAGCTTGTCGACGGGGCGTCAATGATGCCGGTGTCGACGGGACCACCGGCTGTCACAGTCTGGATCAGGGTCTGGATCTGAACCTGCGTCTCGGTGGCAAAGATGGTCGTCGCTACCTGGTTCCCCCCCGCGCCCGAGGCGGTAGAGAAGATGGTGGTGGGGACCGACACGGTCTGGGTGACGGTCTGCGCTGCGTCGGTGGGGGTGACGGTCTCCGTCTCGGTGACGCTCACGGTCACGGCGCTGGCCGTCTGGGTGTGGTAGACGGTCTCGGTGACGCGGTCCGTCTTCTCCTTGGCCGACACCGTCTTCGTCACCGTCACCGTCGACGCGGAGCAGTCATCGTCGCTGCCTTGGCTGGGCTCGAGGGGCACGACGGAGTAGTCGGGTGCGCTGTCGCCGCGGGGTGCCAGCTGGGGCCTGGCCGCGGCCAGGACGGTGAGCTGGAGAGCGGCCAGGAGAGTTCTCGTGGGGTGCATGCTGGGCGGCGTCTAGGGAAAGTCGGGGGTGGAATACCGCGACTAGCAGCACTCTGATTGTTTTGCTTGCTGGTCGTCGTAGGCCAAGTATGCTTGTTGTGTCTTGCGAGGATGAGAGAGAGGTTGCGGTGATGGTGATGGTGGCAGACGTCAGTTGATGGAGGAGGAAGAAGCAAGGAGTCGGGGACAGTTCATATCATTAAGAAGGGTGGCAAAAACAGAGAAACGATCTGCTCCTCTAGACCGTCTTCGCATGCGGTGAAAAATGAAGGCTGGGAATCACTTGAGCGGTCAAGACGGCGAGTGGAAGTCGGTAGGACCCTTGATCCTTCTCTTCTTCTACAAGTACGAGTACGTTCTAGACATGAAGCTGTCAAAAGTCGTGGCTGGGAATGGGTGGCTGGTGGGTCTCCAGCCACTCGATTATCGACAGCTTCGACCAATCATGTGTCGTCCAAGTGGCCTTTCGAGAAACATTGCTGCTGAACAGTGGGGAGCGATTAGTCGTACCGGGGCCCAAGTTCGAAACATGACCACGTTCTGGGTCGACAGGAACAAGGGAGGATATGAGTAGTCAACCGTTGTCCCGAAAACGTTGTATGCCCTTCTCGTCCTCTTCTGTCGTTTTCTCTCTTGCTTCGTTGCTTACCGCTGACGGTGACCGACGGGCCGATGACGGCACCACCACTGCGTAGCTGGTCAGGGGGCTTAACAACGATCGAAGCCACAACCACAGCCATAGCACACAGCCACACCACACAGCCACAGGATACTACGAGTACATGTAGCTCTAGTATTACGTAGTAAAGCAGTAATACACCAGATCATAAGATCTGCTGCGCCATCTTATCTCGCCCCCCTCCCTCTCCCCACATGTAACAATAAAGTCCAATAAGGTTGCTTCCATGGCCCTTTTTTTTTCTTTTTTCTTTTTTCCTCCGGTGTTTTTATGTCTATTAACAGAGTTGATATATTCTACATGTGCTGGTGGACATCAATCGTTACCAGTGTAATAAGACTTATTGAAGAGTTGTTAAAGAGCTCTCTTCTTTTTCTGTCTTCTTTTTTGTTCCCTTGAAAAAAGTTCCCTTGACAGGTGGGGAGCCTCTTTTCCCTTAGGGAGAAGCATCGACACTGATTGTGTGTTGTTCTTGTTGCATATTACGTACGTCTGCAGTTCTGCGTGCGGTGCTGCGTGCAGTGATATAATAATAGTCGTGTCCGTACCTGTAATGAGATCTTTCCCTTTGTTCGGTCCATACTTTTCTCAGCTCCCCTTCTGTTTCCCTTGTCTTAACAAGGCTGATTCCGAGGGCCAAGGTGACGCCAGCAATTCCCGACGGCGGCGACTTGCCAGGTACTTCTAGTCCAGGAAGTACTCCTCTCCATAGTATACTGCCTCGATTCTTGCGTCGATTCCTTCGCCTCAGTGGAAAACCCCGCTTGCTTACCATTTTGTCTTAAAAAAAGAACTACTTAATTAGAGAAGCACTTAACCCCAGGTAGGGGACCATTGGACCCTTTTCACACCATCATAACAATATCGTCACCCTCCTTCTTTTTTCCGCCTTCGGTGTGCCCCGCCCGACGCCATCAGTCTTCTTTTACCTTCTCTCTCCTCCCACCCAGAGAATACCATCACGCAGCTGGTTCTCCCTTCTCTTCCATCCTCCCATCTCCCTCAAAAGAAGCGGGTCGAGCAGTATACGATATAGGAGATCCCTCTCTATCTTTCTCATCCCAGCGCAATGTCCTATCACGGGTACGGCCAGCCGCCACCCGGCCGTAAGCACTCACCCGCCTTCCCACTGTCATCTTCCATTCGCATCCGTAGCTGACTTGTCATTGTTCTCCGCAGAAGGACCGCCTCAAGGCTACGGTCAATACCCTCCACAGGGCTACGGTCAATACCCCCCCGCACCGCAGGGCCAGTACCCCCCGCAGCAAGCGCATGGTCAATACCCCCCGCCCCAGGGTCAGTATCCTCCTCAGGGAGGGCACTATCCTCCCCAGCAACCGGGCGGGTACTACCCTCCTCCGGGTCCTCCCCAGCAGCAGCCGGGCGGACATTACTCCCCCGGCCCTCCCCCCCCGGGCGGTCACTACCCCCCTCAGCAGTACGGCCAACCGCTGTCGCCGCAACAGTATGGTGTGCCGCCCCAGCAGTACGGGTCGCCCCAGCCGCCGCCTCAGGGTTACGGGAACGCCCCTCCTCCTCCCGGGCAATACGGCGGCGGCGGAGTCCCTCCACAGGGCGGCGTCGTGGGCGGGTATGCGCAGGGTCCGCCCACGCCGCCGACGTTGGGGTATGGTCCGCCGCAGATAATCCACTGGGACGGCGCGCCGGACGCCAAGGCTCTCCGGTCGGCCATGAAGGGCATCGGCACGGACGAGAAGGCGCTGATCCGGGTGCTGTCCGACAAGGACGCGCTGCAGATCGAGACGATCCGCGGCGCCTTCAAGCGCAACCACAACCGCGACCTGGTCGAGGACATCCGCAAGGAGACGAGCGGCTACCTCGAGCGGGGGCTGGTGCAGCTCGCCCGCGGACCCCTGCAGGCCGACGTGCACAACCTGTTTGACGCCGTGGACGGACCCGGTACCAAGGAGGCTTTCCTCAACGACATCCTGCTGGGCAGGTCCAACGCAGACATCAAGGCCATCAAGTCGGCCTACCAGCAGACCACCAAGCGCAGCCTCGAGGCTGCCATCAAGGGTGACCTGAGCATGAAGACGGAGCGCCACTTCATGCTCGTCCTAGCCGCCAACCGCGCGGAGGACTCGGCACCCGTCGACCTGCGAAAGACGGAGGAGGACGTCTTGAACCTGTACAAGGCCACCGAGGGCCGCGCAGGCACGGATGAGGTGCTCGTCTGCCAGATCCTCACCTCCCGCAACAATGACCAGATTCGCGCCATCGCACACATGTACAAGAGTAAATTCAGCCGTGATCTCGAAGAAGTTATCAAGAGTGTGAGTACTATTGATGCCTCTCTCTCTCTGTGTGTGTGTGTGCAGTGCAATGTTTTCTTCTCATTTTTTTTAATTTTTTTTTTTCCTCTTCGCTGACAATTCTCCTTTAGGAATTCTCCGGTCATATGAAGGACGCTCTGCTGTTCCAGCTCAGAGAGGGTGTAGACAAGTACATGCACGCCGCCACCTTGCTCGAGGATTCCATGACCGGCGTGGGGACAAAGGACCAGCTGCTCGTCGCCAGAGTCATCCGCTTCCACTGGGACCGAAACTACCTCGCCAACGTCAAGGCCGCCTACCAGCAGCGTTACGGGAAGCCTCTGGGCAAGCGTGTTGCTGGGGAGACGTCGGGAGACTACAAGAGGCTCATGCTGGCTTGTCTTGGGGAACCGTGGTGAGGTAGGCCTTTGATTGTATGAGGACGGTACGGGTGGGAAAGGAGTACCGGGGTATTTTTCTTCTCTTCATCTTTCTGTGTTTCTCTCCTTTATCATCACCATATACTACTTACCCGTACATGTTATATTATCTTTCTACGCAAGAAACTTGTACATCGTACCGCTCAATGGTCATACCTAACCTGAGCCACGTCTCTTCTTAGCCGTGCCATCATCGAAGCCATGTCTGGTAGTCAGAGTAGTGGATGTCACGGTGACCACAACTCATCTCTCGTTTGTGAACATTCTTTGATTTGTTTTGTTGACCCTATCCTTTGGCTTTTGATTTCCAACCATCCAATTAAAAGAGGAAACAAAGAGTCAGGGTAGGCATCCTAGTGGTGGAACAGACGGACATTCTGCTCAACAAAGGTGATGCCCAACTTCTCGGCCGTGTCAAAGACAGCACCGTCGTTTTGGCTACCGCTGGGGGCGGCAATGTACTTGACACCGGATCGAGCGGCGCGGAAGACATTGTCAATGAAAGGGAACTAGTGTCGAGGTTAGCAAGTGTTTGCGTTTGCGTCGCTTGCGTCTGCTGTGTGTGTGTGTGTGTGTGTGTGTGTGCATGAGAAAGGGTGAGGGGCAGAAGAAAGAAGAAGATAAAACCCCCCCAAAAAACAAGGAAAAAAAAGACAAAAAGGAGAAGAGAAAAACCTACAAAGGCATCAGAAGAGACGACAACATTATCGAGCTTCTTCATCCAGTCATCGCGTTCCTCGGGGGTAAAGGCAGCGGGGACCTCCTCGAAGACGGCCTCGAAGCCGTCGCGCTCGGCACCATCCTTGGGGAGCTGACCGCTGACGAGGAGATCGATGGCGTTGCTCTTGTCGGGCCTCTTGGTGCCCTTCTTCCACTTGATGCCGAGGACGCGGGGGTGGAAGCGCATCCACCAGTTGTCGGCCTTGTCGCCGGCGAGGCGGGTGCAGTGGATGCGGGACTGCTGGCCGGCGCCGAGACCGATGACCTGGCCGTTGACGGCATAGCAGACCGAGTTGCTCTGGGTGTACTTGAGGGTGATTGTGGCGACGGTGAGGTCTCGGGTGGCCGTCTCGGGCAGCGGGGCCGAGTCCTTGGGGGTGATGACGGTCTTGAAGGACTTGGGGGTGAAGAGGAAGTCGTTGCGGTGCTGCTGGAGGATGACGCCGAATACGGTGCGGGTCTCGGTGGGGTCGGGGATGAAGTCAGGGTCCATCTGCAGGACCAGGTAGCGACCGCCCTTCTTCTTGCGCAGGATCTCGAGGGCGGCATCCTCGTAGCCGGGGGCGATGACGCCGTCCGACACCTCCTTGGAGATGATGCTGGCCGTGGGGACGTCGACGACCTCGCTGAGAGCGATGACGTCACCGAAACTGCTCATGCGGTCGGCGCCGCGGGCGCGGGCGTAGGCCTGGGCCAAGCCGGACGTCTCGATGCCCTCGATGTCGTTGACAAAGTAGACCTTGCGCTCGTCCTCGGTCAGGGGGTTGGCCACGGCGGCACCGGTAGGGGAGACGTGCTTGAAGCTGGTGGCGGCGGGGAGGTCCAGGGCCTGGCTGAGCTCGCGGACCAGGGCCCAGGCGTTGAGAGCGTCGAGGAGGTTGATGTATCCGGGGGAGCCGGACAGGGTCTTGAAGGGCAGGTGGGCCGAGGGGACGTAGGCGGCAGCGGGCTTCTGGTGGGGGTTGGCGCCGTAGCGGAGGGCCGTGTGCTGCTGCTGGCCGTCGGCGGCCGACGACGAGGCGTACTCCTTGCGGAAGAAGTCGGAGATGGCCGAGTCGTAGTCGGCCGTGTGCTCAAAGGCCTTGAGGGCGTAGCGGTTGCGGCTCTCCTCGCTGATGTCGCCCTGCTCCAGGGCCTTGAGGAAGCCGGCGTAGTCGCTCGGGTCGCTCAGGATGGTGACACGCTTGTGGTTCTTGGCAGCCGCGCGGATCAGGGTGACGCCGCCAATGTCAATCTCCTCGACGGCCTCGGGCACGCTGACGTTGGGCTTGGCCACAGTGTCCTTGAAGGGGTACAGGTTGCAGATGACGAAGTCGACCTTGTCAATGTTCTGCTCCGCCAGGTCCTTCTCGTCCGACGCCAGGTTGCGGGCCAGGATACCCGCGTGCACGGCCGGGTGGAGAGTCTTGACGCGGCCAGCCAGCATCTCGGGCGCCTTGGTGATGGCCGAGACATCCCTGTAAGCCGAGAAGAGCTTCGCTGTCAGTCCCACCATTGTATACATTGCATAGTTTCAAGCCATGTTCGAGAAGGGGAGATCAGAAGCAAAGGCTTGTTCGTACTCGACCGGAAAACCGGACTCGCGAATCATGCGCGAGGTGCCTCCCGAAGCAAGGATGCGGACATTCTGCTGGACGAGACCCTTGGCCAGGTCGAGAAGACCAGTCTTGTCAAAGACGGAGACAATGGCCGTCTTTTGCGGGGACGACATGATCGATGTGCGATATTTGGTTGAACCGAACGGAATTCAAGATTTTTTTCTTTTTTTTTTTAAAAAAAAAAGGGAGATGGTCCGGGCAAAGGAAAAAAAGAGGTTCCCAGTGATGGAGGGGGAGGGGTCAAGGCGAGAAAAAAAAAAGTTTGGCGGGGTAAATTGTGTATGACGGATTCCCTCTACACGAAATTGGGCGACACGGCTTGTAGATTGGGACCTCGGAATGCGTCGACGGAATGAACAGAGACCTACGCAGATTTATTATTATTACTGACAGGAAGAAGAAAAAAGCCAAATGCTAAATCAGGATGAAGATTTAGCGAGGCCATTGATCCACCTCCACACGAATGTCGCCCACCAGCGACGCAGTATCTGTAAAGTGACAATATTCCACTGCAACTACATGTAATGACTGTCAACGCAAAAATGCTCATGTCGACAATCTAAGAGGAGGGAACTGTCATATGGAAAATCTACTCCAATATTAGGTAAGCGGGACTCGACCATAAAACCGTCGAGTCCGGCGCCACGATTGTAAGGATGGACAAGAACTTGACACCGCACAACGCCTCACCTGCCTTTGACGTATGTGAGCGTGTTAGTGGTGTGTTCCCACACACGCCTCTACGCACTTCAGCCTACTAACGGTTGATTCCCCGAAGAATAACGAACGCTTCTCGAGAGAAGTCTTACAGGTGTCGGATCACACCCTTCGTCTGTGAGATCCGGCACCGTCCTTGTCGAATCCAGCAACCGAGGACATCTCTACTTTTTGGGTCACCCTAGAGGAACACAAAAAGTATGACAGCCATTGTTAGGTGACTGCTAAATAGGCTCCTTGAAAGTGGGGCCTACATGGATCCCTAATCCTAATCCGCGACAATATAGCTATAATAGGCGAAGGCCGTATTCCTCCAGTAGCTTTCGCTTCATGTATAAATATGGGGCAGGCGGCAGGCAGAGCAGCTCATTGGCTGACGACTCAAATTAAGAAGCGGCGGTCTTCGTACCTAAGATAGCAAAAATAATTATCCTCTTACGAGTCTGGTGGCTAATTTACCATCCCGGATCCATTCTAATTTGCTTAACGGGGCGCTAACGCCTAAATTGATCCTGATTGGCCAGCTGCTCGGGGGGGTTAGGATAGATATGGGGCAAGATAGATGCACGGATATAGCGAAGGTACCAGAATCCTTTAAATAAGACCTAACGCGCCACTACGCGCTCTAGGCGCCCGCACCTTGACCTTTTCCTTTTTAAACAAGAATAAAGAAAAAAAAAAAGGACGGCCAGACGCGTTTGCACCAAAACGTACTCGTACATGTCACGTCGTACTTGAAGTATCATACATAAGACGTTCATCGCCATATGCTACGTCTTGATCATACCAGGGCATGATCAATCCCGAGAAAAGCTCATACCAGATCTTGGCTTCGTGTTGTGTTGGTAAATTAGTCTTCGCTTGCAGCCGGCAGGCCTCAGCAACACCGCCTTTAATCCGTTCAAACTTCACACTCTCTATAAACTGATATCCTTTCCTCGCACACACCTCTTAATACCTTGCACCACACAATCTCGGATGGCTGCTGACCGCCCACACCTTCCCTTCTAAGACGCGCGGAAGAAAGCAAAAGAAGGAGAAGAACGTCAGCACTGGACGGGATAGCTAGCCAAGCTCACCTCATCCCCTCCCTCTTCTTCCACCATGGACACGGCCGGCTCTGATGCACGCAGCGCCGGCCATTCGCTGCCTTCTTCTCGCGGCATACCAGCCAACTCGGCACCCCAGGGCCGCCAGATATCGCACCACGGTGCGCCCTCTCAGTTTGGTGCGAAACCCTCATTGCTGTCGACGCCTGCCAACAGCATACCGGCACATCAGCAGCAACAGTCGCCGCAGCAGATGCACGCATCGCATCCTACTCTAAGACCGGGTCGTGATGGCAGCCCTGCTCAGACGGGGAGGCAGAAGTCCCCGGAAACCATGCAGGCCGATGCCATCCGGAATTCGCACTACTACATGACGTTATCTATTGCCCTCAAGCAGACGCCTGCGCCCATAGTCCAGCAGGCCATACGCGACTACTGGGCCCATTGCTTCGTAGGCTCTGACCAGCATACTGCTTTCATCGTATGCCGTATCCCCCCACCGTCATCCACATCTCTCACTGCCGACTAGGCTAGGCATGACGGAGTGTGAACGGCAATGTACTGACCGCCTTTCACAGCTCAACGGAATGATTCAACAAGCGAGCCCGGCCGTTCTGCAGAAGTGTGTGCTGGAAAGTGGTGCCAAGATGTCCTGTATTGCCAACCACCTGCTCGGATTCTTCAGTACCGAAGGTCTCGACCAAGTGACAGATCTCATCTTGTCCAAGGCCAGCAGCCAGTTCCTCGACAAGGCTATGGAGGCCCGCCTGAAATCGATAGATGCCCGCAGCCTGGTCAACGCTCTGGCCAGGGCCGAGCGCCTTGGCTACGATGAAAACGACGTCGTCAGGGAGCGTGCACCCGGTCAACCTGAGAATGTCATACCCGCTGCGCACAACTTTTCGGCACCGCTGAGCCTGTTGCAGGGAGCAAACTCGCAGCCGAGCGTGCCGTCGAATGTCCCAGCTCAGGTCGTTATTCCGTCGCAACAGGGCGGGTCTTTCGAGCGCCCTGTATCGGCGGGGTCGCGAGGCATCTGCTACTGCCCCCGTTGCCAGAGACCCTGCAGTTCAGAATCGGCCCTTCAATATGTAACTCCCCGCCCCCCTCCCCTCGATCGCGTTCTCTTGCCTCTTCTTTTTTGGGGGGGGTGCGTACGTGTCTGGCTTCATCTAACGCAATGAATACATACAGCACCTGAAGAAGAACGCCTGCGAAGCCTACTTCCCTCCCAACCGGATGTTCCCGGTTGAGAAGCTCACGTGTGCACACTGCGGGTGCAGATTTACGACGGAGAATGGTGTGAACTACCACAGCAAGTGTGAGGTCTGCGGAGAATTCCCTGCACACATGTTGCCGTTGATCTTGAAGGAGCTCGAGGCACGCAACAGCGGCGACGGCAACAGCGGCACGCGGGGCATCGAGGCAGGCGGTCACCAGCGGCTTCAGCGGCATCGGCAGCAACAGTCGCCGAGTTCGGCACCGGCTCAGTCGGCAGAAGAGAGGCGGGCGCCGACGGAAGACAAGGCACACAGACACATGTCACTGCAGATGTGGCAGCAGTACCAGAAGGAGCGGAGCCATGTCGAGGTGAAGTACGGGCGGCTGATGCAGCAGGCACTGAAGCTGCCCGAGAGGCAACGGGTGGACCAGTTTGTCAGGCTAAGGAATCGGTACAACACGAAGCAGAGCACGACCCGCAAGAAGTTTGGCATCCGGCTGCGCGAGCGACGCACCAGGGAGGACATCGATGCGGAGCGGAGGCGGCTGCTCGGCACCAGCGATGGGCCCGAGATCTGGCTCCAGCTGGAGGCGCTGATCCGAAAGGTGCAGGCCGGGGACCCAACGGTGGGGACGGGTGCGGAAACGCCAGTAGGGCAGGCGGCAAGTCAGAACGGCACGCGGTCGGGTGGTGGCCATGGTGACCAGGCGTCGAAGCCAAGCCAGGCCCAGGATCGTGACAGCCCGTCCCCGGATGGCCTCATCCGAAGCGACCTGACGGGTGGGCTGCCGGCGTCGGCAGGGTCGATCGAGACGACGGACCCCACGACGGACCCCACGACGGCCACCACGACGGCCACAAAGCAAGGGTTCAGGCCACCTCGGATGCATGAAGACTTCCGGTCAAACGCAGCATCCCCCCCGCAGCAGCGACGGTCGCAGCAGGCGAGACCCGCCCACCAGGACGTCACGATGATCGACAGCGACGACGATGACGACGATGACGGTAGCAGCAGCTCAAGCGATGACGACAGCAGTGATGGAGACGAAGATGTTCCATCACGCCGATGAGTCTCGTACGACGCCACCGTCTGCTCGCTCTCTGCTTTAAAATAAAGTCAAAATTCGAGGACAATTTTTTTTTTCCATCTCTTCCCTTCCACTTGGAGTTTTAGCATTATATTTGGGACTGGGCAGGGCTTCCAGGGAAAGGATGGCTTCATCTCTTCTATCCTCTCCTGTTCTTTCTTAAGAGGCGTTTTCTTGCTTGCTATCGTTCACCGGGATTCATTACTACAGTGGAGCTGAGGCGACAACAAGACTTTCATTCTATTTTAGGAAGGACGAAACGGGTTTATTGCACAGTGGTAGGCATATTATACTAAGTAATGGGATGGGGGTCTTATCAGGATTCATGGTCGGTCGGGGTGAGAGAGGTGATGGAGAGAACATGGGATCCATATGATGACGGCGTCGAACCAAGATGAAACCAAGGCGATGATGTGAGTTGATTGATGTACCTGTATGAATAGAGCATGTACCTGACCGAACTGACCAGTCGAGGGGAGGGGGGTGATGGAAAAAGAAAGAAGAAGAAGAAAGTACGAGCACTGGTAGGAAGATGTTGGTAATTTACTTGATGCAGCAGCAGTCACAGTAGTGATTAGGTGATGAGTGATGGGCATGCAAGCCAAGTTTTGGAATTGCGTGAGTTGGTAATACGAGTGCTGTTCAATGTCTATATGCGTATCCGTGTCTAGTACGGAGTAGCGGTAGCGGTAGCGGTAGCAAGTAACGGTTCAATACCAATACTGCTGCTAATCGGATGTACGTAGCACTCGGTGATGGAGATTCTGTCTAGTAGATTCTGACTGCGACGCGGTACAGGTAGAGAGGCCTGGTGATGTGTATATATATATCATGTTAGCTATATTAGTTAGTAGGAGGTAATAGTAGCGGCAGTGGTGACACTGTAGCCATTCATGGCTGCGGTTGCCATCGGTCGCGCGCAGCTATTGTCCTGTTGTGAATGTCTCGACGCTCGTCATTTTTCCGGGGGGCGGGTTGTTGGGCCTTGGGCCTTGGGGCGTCAGACGCGTGGAGAGGGACAGGGACAGGGACAGGGACAGGGAGAGTGAGGTGGAGGGGATAGCGATGGATGAGAGGGTGAGTTGGTCGAAGTGAACCGGGATAATAATACTACTCGTGATGTGAGGCAATCTTGTCGGGGGACAGACGTAATCGATGTTTCTATTTATTCTACTCGTGCGGGACTACAGATTACAGATTACAGATTACACCGAGCCGCAACAGACGTACTCGTAACTGCTCGCAGCGCATATACAAGTGATGGTATGAGAGATAGAGAAGTTTCACCTCACTCCTACAGTACTCCTACAGTACTCCCACAGTACTCCTGCAGTCCTTACGGTCCCTACAGTCCCTACAGTCCTACTGCTCCCGTGCCTGTAACGAGTACTCGTACGGGTAGAGAAACGGAAGGGTCCAGGGGCTTGAAACACCAGAAGCCTTGGAAATGTTGGGTGTCGGAACAGCTTCTGACCAACCGGGAAGGCGAGCGGCTGCAGGTCGTGGAGGATTCCCCTCATTGGCTACGCACGCCTGAAGGAGCGACGCTTACAGCGCTGCAAGGTACAGGTACAGAATGTACCGGGCAGCCTCTCACCTACTCGCACCCGTAACAAGTAACGATACAGGTAGACTCCTGCTCCCCAGTGGCTGATCTGGGCGCTTATGTACCCAGAATCCTTGTACCTGCACATGTACCTCTGCACATGTACTCACTACTCGTAGTGCCCGTAAGTGGCCCCCCCGCCCCCCGTCTTCACCCAGCCCAGGGGTTTCCTTCCTGCCACGAGGAAGCGACCAGGTCAGGCCAGGCCAAGCCAGTTGTTGGTACAGGAGCTGGGCCCCAGCCCTTTTTATTGTACAGTCTACCCTATCGTAATACCAAATACAGCCTGCGATGTAATGTAACATTGACTTCCTCCTCTCTCGCCCCTGCCTCGCATATCAGAGAACTGGGGGGGGGGGGGGGGGGCCCCACGACGCGGGCCTTTTGTTCTTGTTTCTCCTCACTCTCTTCGTTTCCTTCTTTTCCTCTTTTTCTTCTTCTTCTTCAGCGTTCACAACATTCAACTCTTTTTTCTTTTTTCGTTGCTCGTCATCTCCTTCCTTTTCTTTCGGCCCTTCGGCCTGTTTTTATTTTTTATTTTTGGGGGGGTTTTTTTAATCTTGTATTTGCCCTCATCATCGTTCTGGCTGGCCCAGACGTCCATGTACCCTCATTTCAACAATCTCTCAGTAATATTTGCGCGCTTCGTCCGTTGGACGGGAAGAGGAGAGACATGGTACCTTCTCTCGCCAACAAGGCCTTTCGGTGGCCCAGGAGCACCTCATCCGATAAATCCCTCACGCTGAAACCCTCACGAGAGAACGATGCTCCTCGCGGTACGAACCGCAACGAGAAGACTGCTGGTGGCCGTGGCGGTGTACCCCTTGCACCCATCGTGACTTCGATGTCCAGCAACAACGGCGGCGGCAGGTCTAAGCCGTTGGCTTCCATCGTCAACAGTGGAGGAACGGGGTCAAGTTCGGGAGGAGGGGACCCGAAGGGAGGAGCAGGAGCAGGGACCGTGCTGTCTCACGGCGGCGTGGCCGTCGCACAGAAGCCCCGGCGGACAACGGCAACAGTCTACGTCGGACCGGAGAAGCAGCGCTTCCGCGTCAACAGGAAGCTCCTGTGTGCGTCGTCGACCTTCTTCAGCGACCTCCTCGAGGGCAACGCCAGCGGTAGCGGCAGCACGCCACACTCGCAGTTGCAGTCTGGCGGCAGCTGGCAGAGCGTCTCCCTCTGGCTCCCGGGCGAGCTCCCGTCCATGTTCGCCCTCTTCGTCGACTGGCTGGGCATGCCACGCCACCACTTCCGCCAGCACCTGGACGACGCCGTCGCCCGCTCGCACCAGCAGAACGGCGAGCGAGGCCTGCACGACACGCACTGGGCCCTGATCCGGCTGCACCTGTTCGCATCGCATCTCGGGCTCCTGCACCTGCAGGACTCGGCCATGGACGCCATCCAGGACCTGTACCTCTCGTGCGACTGGGACCTGCCGCCCGCCCTGCTGTCGTACCTGTACACATGCTGCGAGTCGCTCCCGGCCGTGCGTCTGCGCCGCTGGGCCGTCGCCATGGTGGCCTTCTCCCTCAGCACGGCTTCCGTCGACGACGACGACGACGACGACGATGACTATGACGATGATGATGACGACACCGACACCAGCTCTCCCATCTCCCCCGCCTCGGGCGCATCGGTGGAGATGCACACCCACCTCGCCCGCCGGGCTGCCGCCGCCGGTGCCAACGCCTCCGTCGAGGACCACGACATCGACGATGACCACGCCAGTCGCCGCCACAAGGACTTCCACCACGACGACGCCCGCCGCTTCCGCCGCCTCATCGCCTCCATTGACGAGCTGGCCGAGGATTACGACGTCCATCTCGCCAAGATGGCCGCCTCCAACCTCGACATCCGCGTCAAGAACCCCCAGCTGCGCATCCCCGCCAACCGTCTCCGCAACGATGAGAGGGCCTTTGGCTTCCGCGAATGCTCCTTCCACTCCCACCGCTCTACGGTCGGCGAAAAGCGCTGCCCCCACGAGAGGAAACGTATTCGTGCACTGGCTGCCGAATCGGACGCCACCGCCGCCGCCCCCGCTGCCGCCTCTGCTCCCGCTCCCGCTCCCGCTCCCGCTCCCAACACAGCAACGGCCGCAACTGCCCCGTCAAAACTCCTACCGCCAAATCACCATGGTGTCGAGGCGAGCAACAGCAGCGTTCCATCTCCCAGTCCGAGCCACAGCAGCGCTTTTCCGCCACCGCTCGTCATAGGTCGTCGTCTCATGGTCGACAAGGCTCACATCGCCGCTGGGGGCAGCAGCTTCACCCCCATGCTGTCAGGGGAGCAGTCGCCCGCCGGTGGTCTGGCACCGCCGACTCGGTGGCACAGCGTGAGGGGACGGGAGAGACCGCATGTGCATGCGAGGAGTATTTCCAGTACGGCGAGGTGACTTTCACCTCTCCCGTCTTTTCCATTATTTCCTTCATCTTTCCTTTGCGGGTTACTGCGTCATGCGTCATTACGAGAGAGAAAAAACACTGAGAAATACACACATTTCCCTACTACGAGAAACTTGCTTTCTCATAATTACACTCCTTACCATAATCAACGTCCCACGCAACTTGTTCACTTCTTCAGCTCTGGAGCGGAATGGATCGTGTCGAAACAATAAAGGGTAGTTTTATATATAATAAAATACGTGAAGAATTTCTCTAGCATCTCCCTTCATACAAAGAAAGAAATCACTTGTCAGGACTTTTTTCTTTTGTCCGGTGTACTAACAAATGATAGGAAACCCCCACACCAAAAAAGAAAATGAAAGAAAAGTGATAAAAGGTAGTATCCTCTTTAAAGAAAAGTGATATTCGTCATAATCGTCATCATCGCTTCAACATGAAAAAGTCGAGGGGGTAAGTCTCCTCCATTCAAGAAAATCGTGGCGTAAACTTGGATGTTGGCAAAGAATAGAAGAAAGAAAATATAAAAAAGTGCCCTAGTCCAAATAGGAGGTGGTCAACGTATAAGAGTAATAAAAAAAGAGAAAATTTGACGCAAAAAAAAAAAAGAAAAAGAAAAAGAAAAGAAAAAGAGTGTGGTGGTATCTTGAACGTTCGCCGTGTTGCTGAGCCGAGGTAGCTAGGTGTTTTTTTTTCCGGACAATTTTGGTAGTTGAATGTTAGAAATAGAAATGTCGAGATGGAAAAAGAGTTGTTGGATTTGGTGGGGGAAAGAAAAAAATGTCGAGAAAATATCAAAGTAAACAATGCAAGCTTGTCTTCTGGTCCAAGTCTAGCTGGGTCTGTTAAATGGAGAGATAAAAACATGTTTCCCATAAGTCGTGTCATGAAGAGGTCGTAATAATAAGGTCGGCAAAGACTCAACAGTCTTCAGTCTTTTACAGAGGCGATCCAAATCGTCGTCTCTCTTCACCCCGCTGGTGAATCAGCTTCAGCTGCTCGTTCAGGTAGGCCATGCGCGCCTCGCTGTCTCTGTCGGCGCCAGACGGCTCCCGCACGCTGGTAAACGGACGGGGGTTGAACAGAGCTGTCGCGTCGTCCGGTAGAGGAGCCACGCCCCGCCTCAGAGGGAACGAGAAGCTCGAGGGGAGACCGCGAAACGGCGAGCCTAGACGGGCAGGCATATCACTGGCACCGGTGGCCGATCTGAACGGAGGCGTGGGGTCCAGGGAGAGGGGAGGGTGGTAGTCGAGGGACAGCTGGGGACGGTGACGCGCGCGCGGCCGGCGCAGGTCGTCGCCCACCGGTGCTCCCACAATTCCGGTAGGCGAGCGGAGGAGATCCGACGAGGCCGGGGGCTCAATGGGGCTCGCGGGTGGCTCGCTCCACATGTCCGAAGGCAGACTGGGCCTCTTGGTGCGGCGGAGCTCCATGTTGTGCTGCTGCCTGGGGCGGCGCTTGTTCCACGTGTTGGAGCGGCTCCTGCCCATCTTGGCCGGCGACTTGAGGCTGCGACGGTTACCCACAGTGTGGCTTTGGCGCGGAGGCAACTCCGAGTTTATCATGTCGAGGGCGTTGGTCAGCGAGTTGGACGAGCTGGGCCCATAGCTGTGGGCAACAAAGGGGGAGCCAAGACGGGGTCGGCTCTCGTCAGCCAGCTGCGGTAGAGTGGCCATCCTAGGGGGCGACGAGAGACGGCGACGATTCACAACCGGCTGCTTGTCCTCCTGCTCTTCAGTCAGGGCGGGAGCTGATGTTGATGCGCTGAGACCCGGGGGCCCAAGCTGGGTACCAGACCTAGTCAGCTGAGCGAGCGGGCCGCCGGGCTGCATCGATTCCGAGGTGCTGACAGCCAGGGACATGGCCATGTCGGATCCGGAGAAGACCGAAGGGGAGCGGGCGGGCGTCATACGGCGAGCCCTGCTGCGCGAGATGGTCTTGCCAAAGGGTGTGGGGCTGCGGAAGTAGCGCTCGTTACGGCCCTTGCCACCGGCGTTGGCCTTGCACATCTCGATGAGGTGAGCGCGCGTAGCGGCGGTCGTATGCGGCCACTGCATGTAGGTGGAGGACGGCTCAACGGTGGGAGTAGAGCTGCCGCTGCGGTCCTTGGGGCGCAGCTGGGGGTTGGGACCCCTCCAGGTCTTGCGGGCTTGGCGGGCGACACGGTCGACGACGCCGCACGGGGGCACACCACAGGCGCTGATGCGGATAGGAGTGACCCTGGGATCCTCCAGATACCTCGTGTACGTAGACCAGAGGTGGCGGCTCATGGGCTGGGCCCAGCGGGCCTTGCGCGACATGGGCGCACGCGATGGAGCGCGGATCGTCACGTCGGAGTCGGGGGGGGCAAGAAGAGAGCTGGACAGCTCCTTGGTCTCGTGGGACTGAGGGGGCTCTTGGAATTCGGCCTCATGCTGGCTGAGCCCGTCGGTCGTGAAGGAGAGTTGGCTCCAAGAAGAGCCGCTGGTGCGGGCCGAGTGGGCAGTAGAAGGCCTACTCGACTCGAGGTCCGACTCGTTAAGCGACGAGTCTAGTGACCAGTCAGGGAAGGGGCTCGGGGTAGGTGCGACCTCAATGCCACCGGGGGCAGGCGTCTTGGGGGGGGAGAATGCGCGAATAGAAAGGCTAGCATCGGAAGAAGGATTCGCATTGTCGAAGGCAGCTGACGAGGACATGTGGTCGTCCATGTCCTCATCGACGACGATGGGCTCCTCGATGCTAGGTATAGCGGCGTCGGCGGCGGCAACGGAGGCGAGGAACTGGCGGGTAGGTGTCATGTTGCGCTCTGGGACGTTGCGCTTCCTGAGGCGAAAGCGGTGTCGAGGCGGGGAGGGAGGCCGCTCCTGGTCCTGATCAGCGACCTGGGCATTTGGTTCAGGCGTCTGGGGACCCTCTGATTTACGGAAGGCGCGCGGCCTCATGGCCGACAGTCTGTCGAGGGGAGGCATTTTGGGAGAAAGTAAAGTATGAAGTTGTCGCGGTGTCGTCAAAAGGGAAGGGTATTTTTGTTGTTGTTTTGTTTGTGCAACGGGGATTTCCCCATAGGGCACAATAGTTTAGCTATACGGTAATAGCGACGGCCGCGGTAGTAGGAGTGGAGGTGACTGATGGCGAGAAGAGGTCGAGAACCAGGCGTCGCGACGGTTGCTGAGACAATAACAACAGGCAAGCGATGTCTTAGTTTTTCTTCTCTCTTGCGGCGGATAGCTGCCCACCGAGAGCAGAAGGTCTGTGGGCTGAAGTGTGGTATGACGAGTTGACGCAGAGTCGTTGACGCAGAGTAGAGGCGGTTCAATCAAGACACGGCGTCGCGCGGCAGCGACTTGACCTCACCGGACAAAGGGTATATGCAGACAAATTGTCTTGGTGTCCAAGATATGATAGACGGACAGAAGAGTAGCAAGTATGTGGTCGTGCAGTTTGTTTATATGTTGTATCGGTCGGCGCAAAAGGGCGCGCAATTCGTAGGCGCGCGCGCAATGCCGGCGGTAAGAGGTAATATAGGCACGGCGGGTGCTTTTAAAACAAAAGGAAAAAAAAATGAAAGGGTGTTAAGGGAGTCGCGGTCGTAGAACTGTATGAAAGGGAATAGGGACGCCTCGGACTTTGTGAAGTTGTAACTCGGTCACATGGCTTGTCGACGTCTCGATGTGCGCAACAGGAAAAAAGAAGGAAAAGCGAGACTAGGGATGGGAGGAGAGCGAAGGAGGAGGAGGAGGATGGATGAGCAGATGGGGAGGGTGGAGAGACGATGGAATGCACGGATTGGGGGGGGCACGGCGGCAGGAGTGACCAGCATCGCAGCAAGTAGGGAAAGAGCGATGGGACCTCCACTGAACTCTGAGTGCTGGGGGGCGATGAGTGCCTGTGCTGGCCGCTGGGTGTGCTGATTTTTTAGGCGGTGGGCGTAGCGATAATACCCCTACAGCCCACTCACTGTACGTACTTGTCCTAGCGCTGTGGTATCATTGCACCGGGGAGTGCTCAAGGTACGTACCGCAATACTCGTACGCACGGCTGATGGCGGATTTAGCACCCTCTCTATCGCTCTCTCTCTCCTCTGGGACCACACCTCTACTGCAGTAAAGAGGAGCCCATGGAGCGAGGGAGATACTGAAAGAGGGGGCAGTACGCATAGAGACAGCAAGGTGGACACGAAAGGAGGGCGTGTGAGCTCTCGTCACTGCTACTAGCTGTGCGATGTACTCGCACGAGCACAACCACGTACGTAAGAGCGACGGTGGCAGTTCCGCCCTAACACAGGTACCTACAGTGGGTTGGATCAGTGGGTCAGGCTACTGAAAGTATTACACTGGGACCACTACTACAGGTACAGATTCAACGGTCATGGACCCAAGGTACATGTACCCCTGGGGGGGGGGGGGGGGGGGGTCCGTCTGTTGACACGTATAGAGAGGAATAGCATCGATAGTGCAGTGCAGCACACGAGCAAAGCTGATCTGATCTTTTCTTACGGATACAAAAGTATCGCTCTCCATACGAAGTAATACTCTTGGTCCCAAGGTTCGACAGAGCATAGAAAGTCACATATCATTACTACCCCATCCACGAGTACATGTACAGCTACAAGCAATAATATACAACGCACAAACTTCCCCAGCCACCCCTGCAATCCTCACCCCCAACCTTCCCATGCTCTTCTTCTTTCAATGGGCTCTCCACCGTCCACCGACAAAGATATACCCTGTCTGCTGCCAACTGCCCCCCCCCCCCCCCCCCCCCCCCCCCCCTCCCCGACACGTGCAGCGGCTAGTACAGAAAAGAGCCGTCAAACATATCAGCCAGTCCCTGTCCCGGAGGAAGCGGTGGACGACCTCATGATCATGGGGACAGAGATGTGACGGTGAGTCTGTGATGTGACTAGAACGGGGGGTTAGGAACCTTTACGAGCCACGCGTAACAAGACGTAATGTACCGCTCGTATGTGAGCATCAGCAATACGACTCTCTCTGCGAATATCTCTACCTGTGATCTGTACTTTCCCCTCTTCTTACGACGTACACATATATATATTGATGATACGCCGTGAAGCAACAAAGGATGAAGGTGAAAAAGAGAGGGGCCAGGCTCAAAGGCCAGATGGAGAGCAATCCCTAACGATGCAGGTACGCATACCCGGGTGAACTGATACTGCAGGTAGGAGAAAAGGAGAAGTGAGGGGAAAAAAGAAAAAAGAAAAAAAAAGTTTGCCAAAATAAATCGAAAAAGGCCAGTTTAACGATGACCCTGACAGCGCCAATGGGCAGGTTGGCAGATGGGTGCGTGCATCTTCATGGGCATTTGTAAGTTGGGTCCTCTTTTCCTTTTTTCTTCTGTGGCCCCCCCTCCTTCTACGAGTCTACGACTTAAGTATCTGTACGAGTTGCTTTTTTCCCTTTTTGCCTGTGTGATATGTGGACTGCGGTCACCATCGTGGTCACAACCCTGGTCACGACTGTTGGGGAGACATGATGAAACCCTGGTACAGTAGTGCCCGCGCTACGGCGCGGCGCATCGGACGAGCCGCTCCCGCGCTCTCTTCTTTCTCTCTCACTCGGCGTCCTTGCTGTGATGGGAGAGAGATTCGATTATCATTATAGTATCCAACAATGTAGAGTTGGCAATCGAAGCATCCTGATAATGCGTCTCAACCGAGACACACAGAACCATACCTAGACTTACTCGCAACAAGTCTAAAGCCTGAAGGATACAGGATCAGACACACAAGGCAAGTCAGTTTAGCGAGCAGAAAAGGGAAAATAGAGAGGGGAGGAGTAAAGGAGAGCAAGAGAACAGAGACCCGCTTGTGGGCAGCAGACCCTGGTAGGAAGGAAAAGACGGTGGCTGGTTTAAAAATCAACTCTCATCACTTCTCTCTCTCTCTCTCTCTCTCTCTCTCTCTCTCTCTCTCTCTCTCTCTCTCTTTCTATCTGAGGCTCGTATAATCTGTATATTTTGTCCGTGCACGTGCACACATACAAAGAAAACATTGAACCTTGTCGAGGAATTAAAGTCAGAGCTTGGAATGTTTAGTCTCTTCGCAACGAAGAATCACGAATCGAACCATCAGGGCACATTTTCTAGGGCTTCCCACCCTTCAATGGACGTTGAGGAGAGGAGGGGCGAAGAAAAAAAAAAGGGCCGTTGAACGTGAGGTACTTTGTGTGACGCGTCGTATGGGCGAAAAGACGCGACTTGAACGCGTAAAAGCGCGTCGAGGCGGCTGCAACCACTTTCCCATCCCGGCCACCGACATCCGCCGGTGGCACCAACGCCAGCCACTACTCGTACATGTACGCGCAGCCAACCAGCCGGCCGTCCGTTTCACCATCACGTCCTTCATGGCTTGTGCATTCCAGTGATTGATGAGTGGCAATGGTGGTACTCTGCAATACAGCTTGTGGTGTTACAACGGGTGGTCAGCAGTTGAGGTGAGTGGCTAGCATACTGTAGTGCCGCCACCAGAAGTCAGCTACAGGGGGGGCACAGACACGCAAAGGACGGAATAACAGGTCAGCGGTTCAAGATCAACGCTGTTCGTCAATCAGCTTCAAGTCCCGAATGAGGGCAAAATATTGTATACAGAAGAAGAAGAAGAAAGAGAGAGAGATACTGAAAGAAAACAGACGTGGGGAGAAAAAAAAATACGAGTTACGGATAGCTGTATAGGGTAATAATCAGCTCAATGGAGCGATGAACAGAACAGACATCAATCACCCCTCATCCAACTCCTACTTTCTCTACTAGTCTTCATTTATCCATACCCCCAAGACACGTTGTCTAGTCTTTTTTTCTCAACGACGGAATCATTCCGTTTCATGACGGACGCCGCCGTAGCCAAGAGAAAGGGGGAAAAGGAAAAAGAAAAGAAAGACAGCGGGCTAAGAGCTAGAATTCCCAACTGTCTACGTCACAGCAGTTCTCGCCGGCAGTTCATCATGGCCAAGCAACAAGTCAAAAAAGTATTTTCTGCTCCACCAATGCCCCGCGGAAGAGGGGGAAAAACCATATCTGCGCACGCCATTATCGGTTTATCCCCCCCCTCCCCTTATACCGTATTTAATACTCTGTAGCGAGACGCACACAACACAACCTTGAGAAGATGAAAGAAGAACCTACAACGACGTACCGTACGCAGTAACATTATACAGAACTAATCACGAGCTGCATCTATCTCACCATATCCACTGCCACACCCTGCTACCTTCCGCTGCAGGCGCGTGGTTGTGAGAGCCGCCCGTTGACACTAACTGCTAGCAACTACACTGCTACTACTAATGATACTGATGATACTAGCAACCTTGCTCTCCATCTCGCAGGATGCTGCCGTGCCCAAAGTTGGGTCCCAATCTCCACGACCGACAGACATACGGGTACGTAGCGCCAGCAGGATGCAGCGGCAACTACTGCATACTGCAATGCTCCATGCACTGCCCTCCCTATTTGACTGCGTCTCTTCTCCTCCCCCGGAAAATCGATGAGAAAAGTAAGGGACAAGAAAAAGAGACTGAGTCAAGGTCTCCTTCTTCCATCCTCACCCCCCCCCCCAAAAAAAGATATGTCGTGAGTAATTATTGATATTGATCACATGGAACCAACCAGCTCTCGTGTTCGGGGATACGCAAAACATGATGGTGCCAATTAGGCATTCCCACGTTTATGCCCGTCCGATCTGGTCCGTTTACAGCTGGCCTGCCCAGCTAGCTGGACGAAGATGCAAAAGGGGTGCGCTTTGCCATGTTCCGTCCTCTCACGTCGATGACCAGCTCAGACGTACATTCGAACTTGCAACATGGGTCAATACATCATACCAGTAACCTTTAGTACGGAGTACGGGGTATACGTAGCTGCGACGGACGGTCAATGTCGAGCTAACAACATACCTCACCCGCATCAACCAAGTGGGCCGACTAGGCCTGGCTGTTTTGCTTTCAGCGCCTCGTTGTCGGCCGGCAAGCGGCGTGTGTTTTCTGTTTTCTTTTTTTTCCTCCTCTGTTTATGCCCCTTATTTGTAAATAGCAACCGTTAGTAAACAAAGGGTATCGATGTTGTACCTCCTTGGTTTTGTATAAGTCCACTGTTTTGAACTATACACGACGTGTATGCGGACGTCATCGCCAGTAGACGTAGAACAGCGCTCGGTCTCCATCCCCAACGTCCATCTTTATCAGGGACAGATGGTGCAACAGGGTTTTTCTGTCTTGTTGATATCCATACCTGTAGCTGCAGTAGATGAATCCGATCGCACATATAGATATATAAGATATACATACATACATACATATATATATATATATATATATATATATATGTATGTATGTATGTATATATATAAGATGAAAAAGAAAGAGAGAAACGGGGAATGAGCAGCAACCCGATGACCCAAAGACACGGATTAAGGGTAAGAGCGACCTGCCTTCCCGCCCAAAACTCCACCTTCCTGCATCTGTCCACACACATTCGCTCCTTCCCTTTTATCCCACTTGCCTTTGTGGCTGTTGGCTACTTTGCAGCCTTGTCTGATACGATATCTTGGATTTTTCCTTACTACTAGCACCACCACCACCTACCTACTACTGGGCTTCGGTCTCAAGGCCGCCTCATCATTGCCCTTGTAGCCTCACACACGATCTCACACACACACACACACACACTCACGCACGCTCACACTCGCATACAATGTGCACGAGCCTAGAATAATATTACCCTGTACGGAATATTACTACGAGCTATTGCGTTGGCTCGCAGCTTCACCGCGCCCCCCCTCCCCCACCTCATCTCATCTCACACACCACATTTCTCTCCAAAGTCCGAAGTCGGAGATCGTCGTCATGGAGCCCAACGGTGTCATCACCCTCGACAACCTCGCCGATAGCCTGCGTCCGTGGACCCCGGATGATGAGAGTCACGTCTATGCCGTAGTAGATATGGGAAGGTATGTGTACAACAGCAGACAAGAAGCATTTAACAAGATGAAAGGGAAAAGAAAGGAGAAAAAATACCAAGATATATATTAGCCAATCATTCGCTACATGTACCGTATCATATGCTAACGAGATGCGTGTGCATAAACAAAAACGAATGAGCAAGCAAACAGTAATGGAATACGCTTCTCCATCACGTCTCTAGCCCCGCCACGGACACGTCTACTCACGCCCATCTACTCGACTCGGGCGGCCATCTCACTCTTCGATGCTCTGACACCCTCCTCCTCATCAGGATCAGGGTCAGGCGATGGCAGCAGCACCGGCACCACCACCCTCGTATTCCCTCCCGAGATTGTGGAATCCGTTTCAACCACCTTGGCGCATTACGCCCGCATCGCGCAGCTGCACAATGTTCCCGCGTCCAACACGCTCATCTTCGCCACCGAGGCCATGCGACGCGCCTCCAACGCGGCCGACATGCTCGATGCCATCGCCAGGGTCACAGGCGGCCTGCGCGTCCACGTACTCGCGCCACCTGTCGAGACGCTATTCGGCGCCGTCATGGGCTCACGGAGCGGGCTGGCCGACGTCCGCGGAGGAGCACTCTTCCTCGACCTCGGCGGCGGCAGCGTGCAGATGACGTGGGTCGACACCTCTCTCGACCAGTACGAGACCGTGGCCGCCAGGGCCGGCGTCAGCATGCCCTACGGAGCTGCCAGGCTCACTCGCATATTAGAGCAGCACACCACCTCCAAGCCCAACAAGGGCTCTTCCGCCCTTTCGTCTTCTTCTTCTCCCTCCGCCCCCGACCTTGTCGCTGCCGAAATCTCCAATCTACACGACCTTATCCGGTCGGCCTACGACGAGCTCTGTCGGACCTTCCCCCGGCTCAAGAGCATCCGGGATGCTCACGAGTCCGGCCAGACGGGAGACGAGGATGCATCTCTCGTAGACGTCTACATGTGCGGCGGGGGGTTTCGCGGCTACGGCAGCATGCTCATGCACACCGACGTCGCCCAGCCCTACCCCATGTCGTCGGTGGGCACGTATACCGTGTCTGGCGCCTCGTTCAAGCGTGCCGACCACCTCCGACGCCTCAACGCTGAGTACCGGGGCAAGATCCACGGCATGTCGCGCCGGCGCCGCTCGCAGTTCGACGCCATCGCCACCGTCGTCTCGGCCTTCGCTTCTGCCGTCCCCAACATACGCCGCGTCACCTTCTGCAAGGGGTCCAATCGCGACGGCGCCCTCATGATGATGCTCCCGCGCCACATCCGCGAGTCCGACCCCCTGGAGGTCCTGGCCTCCATCCCCGCCACCCACAGGCCCCTCGTAGACGTCGTCATCTCCAAGCTATCCGCCGCACTCCCACCGTCCGGAAAGTCCGTATCCAGCCTCGCAAGCGGCGGCGGCCTGGCCTCCCTCTTCGCCCGCGACCTGTGGGGTCCCCTCTCAGGCTCGGGCTACGAGTCGGCCGTCAACATCTCCCACGCCCTGCACTTCTCCGTCGCCCGCGACCCAGACACCCCGGGGCTGACGCACCTCGCCCGCGCCACCCTGGCCATCTCCTCGGCAGCGCGGTGGGGCTCCGCAATCGCCCCGGCAGACCAGTCCCTCGCTCAGGGTATGGAAGACGTCCTTGCCCGTCACCACCCCCACGCCGTCTTCTGGGCAAAGTATACCGGTGCCGTGGCCGGTATACTCACCCAGCTCGTACCTGTTCTTCAACCCGCTGACGCTGACAAGTTTGACAAATCTATTCAGTATGTTCTTCTTCTGTCTTGTTTTTCTTGTGTTCTCACATATACACACACAAACACTCTCTACCCCCCTCCCCTGATCAGGACTTCCCGGAACATATGACTGAGTCGTAAACAGTCTTGAGGCGACAACTTCCCCTAAGGAGGGCAAAAAGGACCGTCTTCACCTATCCATTCATGCATCCCCCGACATCCTATCATTGCATGATGGACCTGCCCTCGACGAGATTGCCGACTTCCTCAAGTCGACGGTAAAGACGGGCAAGGAGAAGCCCCCATTCAAAGTGTCGGTCCAGATCGGCCGGCTCGAAGAATACTGACGCCCTCACATCTGTTGACATTCCCAAATTTTTGTTCTCATCCTTCGTATATTTCATTCATTCAGGCATTTATTTTGTGCTATACTCATTAAATCATTTCCCTTTCGTTTTCCTTCCGTCTCAATTCGTCACGTCCAAAACAAACACATCTTTCTTTTGCCACGGAGGAAGAAAGCCCTGAATGGTAAAAAAGAAAGCAAAGAAACAAATAAGTGAGGCCATTGTGAAAAGAAAAGAAAGAGGAAAAGAAAGAATCAATCGCCGCAGTCATCATCTTCATCACGAGCAGATGATTTAGATTTGGATGACGGTTTCGATGTACGCTTCCTGGCGTTGAGCTTCTTGAGCTCGTGGTTGACCACAAAGACACACAGCAGACGGTCCACCTCGTTATCAGATGACTGGATGGTTTGCACTACCGCCAAGAGTCAGCTCATTGTCACACGCAGGTATGACACACACGAAACCGAAAAGAACAAAAAAAATAGAAAGAAAGAAAAAGGTAAAGATGAAGAAGGCGAGGGAATACTCACGAAACTTCTTGCGGCAGTCAATCATTGCCTTACCCGCTTGCTCGATGCCCTTGCCACTGCCGCGGAGGCGACTGGCGTACTTAGGCGCATTCAGCCAATCAAGCGACACCTCGAGACTCTTCTTGTTGCGGAACTGGTAGTGGTAGAAGATGGTCACCTGAGGGAAGAAGCAGTCCAGAAAGAACCTGCATTGAGACTGCAGTGCAACTGTTTCTCCAAGTGTCAGCAACTGTACGCCCACTATCACACCCTGAGAGCAGGCAACATACGGCTGTGGGGGTCGCTAGGACTACTCTCGGACATGCTGAGGCAGTTCCTCGCGGCGGCAGTCATCTCGCGGTAGATGAGTATCAGTTGCCACATGCTCGCCCACACGGCCAGCTTGTCGTCGGGCCCTGGCTGATGCGAGGGTGTTGTCAGGCCATCCAGCTCCTTGAGTACGTCGTGCTCAACGGAGCTGATCCCACGCAGGGCAATGGCCCTCAGCTGGGCCTGCACCGAGATGGGCAGGCTGGCAATCTTGCCAGTTGGGTCGCGGCACCAAAAGGACGGCGTCTTCCAGATACGAAAGAAGCACGACATCTGGTGGACCTTCTGGACCAAGCGGTGCTGGACAAAGGGAATGACACGTCAGCATTGAGAACCATGTGTTACCAGTGGAAGGGTCGGTCGTCATTTACCTTGGGCAGACCACTGCCTTCCCGTGAGTACGCCATGAGAAACCTCTGCAAGACTTGGGGGAACTCCGACCCACGCTCGTGTTGGATCCTGTTCTCCACCCACTTCTGGAGCTCTTCATGCTTGGGAGGGTAGTCACGGCAGAAGGCAGCCTTCTCGAGCTGACTGTCCTCGTCCTCGTCCTGCCATCGATAGGGTTGAACATAGGCACTCAGTGCCGGTGACTCGGTCTCCCTGGAGAAGAAGACGGAGATGGGCTTTGGCTTTCCGGTGAAGACACGCGGGGTCTGAGTGAGGAAGGGCGCCTCCTTGGCCCGGCTGCTTGCCCAAAAATCTGTTTACGGATCAAACGTCAGCAACGTGTGACTGCTGTGGCGGTGATGGGGGGAACCCATGGGGAGTCGGTGTGGAACAATCGATACTTACCTTCACCCTTCTTGATAGCAGGCCACAATTCGACCAGGCTCTTTCGACCACAGACCATGTGCGAATGGTCCGGGAATGCCTTCCTGCACGCGGGACAGACACCATTCTCGTGGCACTACAAAAACGTCTCAGATCTTGGCCTCTCTCTCTCTCTCTCTACACTAAAGGTGGAGTCGGGGACTGGGGCTGGGTTGAGTTGCATAGCGTCACGCTATGGTATGTCTTACCCGTGTCTTGGAGATCCGGCATGGCAAGCATGCTCCACTCTTGCGAACATCGGCCGTCTGGTCCGGGTTCTCTAGCTGCCTTGGACGCTTATTACCAGCCACTTGAGAGCCGATGGCTGCAGGGCCCCCAGGTTGAGGACCGCGGTTGGCGGCCTGGCTGGGAACGGCAGCAACATCATGGTGGATGATGCGGTGCTGGGTTGAGGCCGGGGAATCGGACGAGTATGCCTGCGGATATGTCCACTGGTCGTCATGGTTCCTTATTTCCTGGAGGCTCGCAGCATGAGGCTTGTACGACTCGGGCTGCTCTGGGAAGGTGGGGCCGGAATGCTCAGAGGGGGAGGTGCTACCCTCGCCCTGAACAAGCTCAGGTGGGGAGGGGTGGCTCGAGTATCCGGGCGAGGCGGTGGCCTCATCATCGGAACCAAAGGAATTGCCCATGCTCAAGAATGGGTGAGACTCAATGCTATCAATGAGTGGGCGGATGCCAGTGATGAGCTCGTTAAGGTGCTGCGGGGTGGCCAGGTGGGCCTGCTTGTCCGAGGGATCCCTGTCCTCGAAGTACTTCCGCAGGTCAAAGAAAGTTTCAAACAGCTCGTCACTCAGGTCCGGAGACCGGGGGGGACTGGGGTTTTGGCCGATTTGCAAAAAGTCTCTGGTGAGATCCATGTTGATATCCGTCTAACGCACGGGGCCCTTGATATGGTGGAACCTTTTTACTGCCTGTCACAGGTGAACAGAGCCTGCAGCGTCACGTTTAAAGACTCAACGATAAGGTGACGATGCCCAACCTCTCTAGGATCTTTGTGCAAGACTTGTCTGGATCAAAGACGCGACCTCAATGCCAGAGAGATATAATTTGGCGTTCATGGGGGATTTTGGCGTGGCCGTCGACTTACACACCATCCCAAGATGCGCATTTTCGATGAGAGCCGGGGTTGTCATTGGCCCATCACGGCCTCCGACCCATAGAATCCGACCAATCAACCTACCATCTTTCACCGGTTTTGACATTTCAGTGGAAACTGACCACGCACCAAGGCAGTCAGGTGATTAGCTCCGTGGCCGCTATGCTAGGAAATTGAGATAGCTAGGGCTGAAAACCGCCGGGAAGCTGTCGAGGAATTCGCCAATGCGCGCACCCAGGTTGCGGACGAAATTGGGAGCGTAAGTGGCCTCGTTGTTGTGGTCGCCGGAGTCATGGTGGGGTACAAGCCGGAAGAGCTGCAGGCGAATCGGAGCCCCGATTCTCTTACTCCCGTCATCATCAATCACTGTCTCACCTCTTGCTCGGGGCCGAAGCCTAACCTCTCTCTTGAGCGCCATTGCTCTGGAGCAGTTGGTCTTTGGGCGACTCCATTCTTGCAGATTTTCATTCTGGTCCAATTGCCGAGTTTTTTTTGGGGGGTTTTTTATTGTTGGTATTTCTCGGTCCGGGTCCACCGGCCGGGGAGAAGGGCGGGTCTATCTACGGAAGTAGAAGCTCTCGGTGGGGACATTGACAAAGACCGGGACGAGCTCTTGATCATGACCGGCCAGCTCACGACTCTTGTCAACCCTGAGATCGGTGTGCAGCGGAGCCGTGGAGCGGAAGAGGTTGACATAAATTGACGTCATGTAGTGGTAAAAGTCAGTGCCCGTCTGGAGCTTGGTCTCGGTGGTCGTATTCCTCGAGCACGTGGCAGGGGAAGCTGCGAAACTGCGAAAGGCAACATACGAACTGACGAGTCTGCGGCACCGGAATATGAGGCACCGCCAGACAGCCGACAAGGCGAGACCATCGGATGGACCAATATGCTGAGTGCCGAAACTTTTTCCAATTCGCCGAGAATCCGTCTTCTCAAGATTCTAGGAGACCTTCTGGTCATGAGGCATAATTGGATGTAGAGAGCGCGCGAGGGCGGCATGGGCTCACCACCATCCTGCGTCAGACAGAGTGCCAGGCCGAGGCGGACCTCGGCCGAGAATTGAGTTCGTGTGTCTTTTGCACCAGCGTTTTCAAAAAAGAGCCTTACAAGCTGATGGGAGGAGGGAGGGGGGGTGGTTGGCATAAAGTCATCCGATGGTTTCTTACCATGAGAGAGTTCAGACACGAAGCGGCATAGGCAAGGATGGATGAGCCCGTTGCTTGATGCAGCCCAATCTGCTCCTGACCCTGGTAACGTATGGTGTCCTCGGCCCGTGGTATCAGTTCTTTGGGGTCCGGCTGTCGGATCAGGGAATAATGCGAGCTTTTCTCTCGGTACAGGTCCAGGCGGCCATCAATAGAACCAAGATGACCGAGCAGCAAAACCAGCCGGTACTCAAGTCAGCGTTAAAGTCTTGGGCCTCGACCTCGGCCTCCAACCGCGGAACGTCAGGGTAATCAAGAGCAACAGCCATACGGCGAGGCGGGATAGCATGTGTGGTGCCAGCAATGAGGCTCCTAATAGAAGGAGACAAGTTACTGACATGGGACGTAGTGGATATCTCGGTGAGGTCAGCAGCTCTGGGTGAACAGATCGGGGTTGGGGGATAAAGTGTACAGTCCAAGGTAGACATACCCATTGCTGGAGATCATATCTTTGTGAGTCTCCCCCTCAAGCAAATGTTTAGAGCCATCTCACCCACCTCAAGGTTGACTCTGGCCATATCGGGTATGGTTAGCCCCCAGACGTCCAGATAGTGGAGAAACTGGGAACCATATCTCCCCTCTTATCCTCTTGTTACTGTTGGCGATGCGTGCCTGCATGACCATGGCCACTGACTGAGCGTGTGGCTGACTGAGCGTGTGGCTGTTGGACTCTGTACCGGGGGGTCGACATGGTCATGGTGAAATTCCACATGGTCAGGAGAAGACTTGGTAGCCGGTCTCAGCTACTTCATCGTGGCGCTCGTTGCTGGACAAGAGGTTGTCGATATCGATCCATTTGGAGAGGTCATCTTCCTGGGCAGGCAACACCAGCTCCGAGGACGGCGAGTGGGGCATGATGGCAGCGTTGGGGGGGGGGGAGACGCAGTAAGGGATACAATATGTAAATACGGCCAATGAGGGTTAGAGTCGATCAGGAACGGATCGGTTAGAGAAGCAATACATGCAATGTATGGCGTCTGTCCCTGTACATTTTCTGGAGCCCAAAAGGGCGTCAATATCAGGCATTCATTTTCTACAGAAATGGACAAGATGCAAAGGCACGAAGTTGGAGGTTGCTCTATGAAGGTACAGCCAGCCAATGGCAGGGCAAAATGGGAAGGAGCTCTTAGTGAAGACGATTTGGGAAAGAGCGATGCATTGAAGATGAGTCACATGACCCTTACACTAACTACATGCACACCATAAAGTATGACGCTTTTACATGTATGATATGTACGAGTGTGTGTGTGTGTGTGTGTGTGTGTGTGTGTGTGTGTGCCAGTGGCCTGCACCGGAGCCAAACTGTCGGATTCCAACCCCTGTAAGTATTACAACATGCACAGCGTATTGGTAAATTGACTGGAATGGTTGGACGTGTAATCTGTACAGATCTGTAGTCGGTAGCGAGTATTAATATAGGGTACGGAGTAATAATACCAGACATCGTTTCAGCAGCTCAATAGGATGAATGGAATGGCGGAGGGATAGAGGGTACGCGATTTAGTATTCCTCTGTGAGAGAAAAAAAAAATCAGGATCAAGAAGTCTTCTTATTCGCCTACCTGTTAGTCTGTGATGTGATACTCTCTGTAGGGAAGAAATATTTCTATTGAGATCCAGGGCTGGGCTTACGCATTTGAGTGACATTCTACTCTTTTTTTTAAGGAATTTTCACCATGTTCGACTGAGAACACACCCCTGCTGTTTTGTGCAGATGATATGAGCATGTTCTACCCTACCCTACCCTACTCCCCCCCCCCCCCCAAAAGGCAGGGCTGGTGGTGCATCAGAGGCAGGCACGTTTTGCTGCATAGCATGAGACATTCCGCAAGTGTTCAGGGGCGTGGGGATTTGGAGCTACACAGCCAATACAGCACATCCACCCTGACATTGGATTCTGGAAGAAAGACAGAAGCAAAGACAATAGAGAGAAGAGATGAATAAATAAATAAAAGGGGGACGAGGGGGATAAATGGTATTATACTCATCACAACTCGGTATATCCGGGCAGTTCGGCGTTTGCATTGCCCCCCCTTTTTTGGCTCATACTCGGACATATATTAGTCTTATAATAGTAATAATAATACACCCATCTCGTATGCATGTAATAATAGCCTCACTCGTAGTCTTCTAGGCCCCACTAGTATGCGTTGGTTGCCACGGTGTTTGCAGAAGGATGACGGTGGAGAATAACAGCGTAGTCGATGTTTTTTTTTTTAATATATAAGGAACACATACGATGGGCAGATTTCGCCAAGGTCACTCAAGTACAGGGTAGCAGCGTGGTTGCGTGTCAGACCAGAGTTGCCCATCTCAACAGGTCGTCAGCCTGTCGGGCAGGTACGAGTACGGTATTGCAGCACATGTATTCTCGGGGCTGCCCCGTTGACTTTCTAGATCCGTACTTTACCTGTAGCGGTAGGCGTACTGTGGCAGAGCGACCTTGACGACACCTTGTGGACTCGGGCTCTGAGAGGGGATGAGGATAGATTGATAGATGGTGCGGGTATTCATGATGACTATTGACCAGTATATCATGTACTGGTAGTAGCAGTGTTTACGAGTAATCTGTACTACCAGCAATACTACTGGTAATACTACTCCGTATTTACGACCAGCATATTCCTCACCGTACTCCGTATTCGCAGCCAAGTTTGTATGTGATGACACTTATCAGGTATTGTCAAGCAGTATCAGTAGGCTGCACGTGATCCTATCACGAGAGCACGGTGTGATGGACATAGTCGTATATACTGTTATAAAAAAAATAAAATAAAGAACAAGTAGAAAATAAGAAGAAGAAGGAGCGGAAAGACCGGATCTGGGAGAGATTAGAACCCAGGACGTTGTCGATATCCTCTGCAGGAATAATTTCGATTACATGAGAATACGGAGGGAATCGACGGGGTAAAGGGGTTCGGTTCACCCAGGTCTGCAAGGGATGTGCAGATCTGCCGTCGAGGGAGAGGCGAACATTGTTGAGAATACTCCGTATTATGACATTGTAATACCTGAGAGCAGAGCAGGTTTCGCGAGGGGGAAGCGACTCGGGAGCCTTCCATCGGCTCGGTAGGAGTGATACAGAAGAAGGGACCAAGGCACGAACGAGCACAGATCACACACGACAAGGAAGTTGGAGTGCAAAAGGAATGATGACATTAGCAAAGGAGTACAGATTACAGCAGGCTATTACGGGAGGAACAACGATGAGGCAGTCCGTTGAAGAGGAAATACCCGTAGGATACCAGTGATAGACTTACGGATTACTCGTATAGTATCACAGATTACAGACTACTTCGCATGGTATGGCTCGGTACTGCCGAGCTTAAATTACCCTCTCGACTGTCGTGCTAAGCAGTGGAAATTGGTCGACGCACGTGGGCAGTGGCGATGCAAATCATTGCTCTTACAGAGTCGTCAAACATGCTACTCCGCACGGATTACAACATGAGCACATGGGCCGTCAGAGGCCCAAGGGGTCATGAGAGCCGAGGAACAGGGAGGAATCGTACATGTACGAGCAGAGCGAGGACCGAGATACAAGATGCTCGTACTCGTACATGCAGAGGCGACCGTATCGGGGTCATGCCTATCCCCGTCAGCTCACATTGTTTCTCGACTCCTCATGTAATATTGCTTACTCCTCATCTACGAGTGAAAAAACCGAAAAACTCCGTTCTCCTCATCACCTTGACGAATCCATCCAACCATCTCGGGGCTCTTGAGAGTACACGTACCAACGTGTACGAGCCGTCTCCCTCTTACTGCACTCCCGCGTGTTATTTATAGGTGCTGTGTGTAGTATTACCACGACAGATGCATATTACGAGCCTGATCTCTTCCCCCTATCCTCTTCCCTCCCTCTCCATCTCCCACTCTTCCACACACGCACACCCTTCTGCTGTTCCGCGTGCCCGCTCATCTCCCCCGCTTCCATAGGCTTCGTCGGCCCACTGCTACTAGCTGATTGATTGCATCCAGAACTCTCGGAACGGGCTGTGCAGCTTCTCTTCCGTCTAATTCTCTGCTTTTTGGTGGATGTGTGGATCGGGAAAAAAAAAGAAAAGAGAAAAAAAAGTGTACAGCCGTAGTGTAGCGACGTGGGGCCCATATTGGCTATTCTTGGCATAGTATTGCCAGCCAGGGAGGGTAGGTACTCGTACAGATGGATAGAAGTCACTGGAGACATGTCCTGTGCACGTAACCTGCATTGTATCGTGCCAGAGACAGGGGGAACACCGCAGAGGGTTGAATCCTCCTTGTAGTGTTTGACAAGGGATGCTGGATGTTTCGTCATGGATTGCGTCGAGCTGCCCTGAGCTGTCCTTGCGAGAGGGTGACTCTCTTGTCGTGAGCTGGCAGACATCTCGAGGAGAGGATGAAGATGGATGTAGAGAGGCTCGAATAGACAGAGAGTAGTACCAGTAGGAAGTTGGGGGGGGGGGGGGGGGGGAGGGGAAACCGTACAGGAGCTAGAATCTGAAAGAGAAGAGAGAGAGAGAGAGAGAGAAAAGGTACAGTCCTGGACCCGGAGTCATCGCTTCTCTCTGCATCTACCCGATCGTGCCGTCGTCTCAGCGGCAATCCAGAGAGAGGCAGGCACAGAGAGGGAGGGGCGTAAAGAGAGGCCCCGGAGAGACAGACACCAGACACCAGCTCAGCACAAATCCCAGGGGTAATGACAGTGCAGATTACATGTACGTACAAATTATATATGTACGTATATATGTATCAGCAGTACGGAATATATTTGCTATTAATACTAGACTCCAGGTAATCTGCACTGATATATGTATACAAGTCTATGTACTCCGTACTCCGTACTGTCAGCACCCTTACCTGGGTCCATGGTACATGTACCCCCAGATCCTTAGTAATACTGTGCAGCTAAACAAGTATTCGCTCTCTTTCTCTCCCCTTCTCCCGCCCTCTCAGCTATCACCGGCTCGACAAGCCTCACACGGACCACAGTCCCACGGACCACGGAAGGCAGGACGGTATATGTAGTACCCGTACTCTCTCTCTCTCTCTCTCTCCCTCTCCCTCTCTCGGGCTCCGTAATACCGGAAGTATTGCTCGTGTCTGGTAATGATGCTCTGTACGCAAAAGTGTCGTATCGTATATTACCTGTATCACTGCGAGTAACGGTCTCGTACAGGCGACGAGCACAGGCAGTGAGTGAGTGGTGAGGAGTGGCAGCACACTGAACCACAGTGCTTGATGAGCCTCCTCCGACACAGTGTACTCCGTATTCGCTATTGCTACTCCCATATACTCCCCGTCATTCTACGGGTATCACTCGTCCTCTTCCTCCTTCCCGCTCCCCACAAAGTACGTAATTCATTGAGCAAAATGTCTGACCTGAAGGCGTGACTGACTTCAACCCCCCCCCGGTTCAACCCTCTATGGCCGAACAGCCTACGGTACAGCCCACGAGCTACGAATACATTGGGACCATTCTGTCTCTGTTTATTAGTCCCCATTACCATCTCGGCATAACTCTCAAGGTACAGACAGCTGCTCATTACAGCGAATAAAACAAGGTACGTACGGGATACTACTGCTGCAAGTATTACTACGTACGCGTCTGGCCGCAGCAAGACAGACTGTGAAGTTCGCCTTCTCCCTCTCCCGCCGTCGCCGTCATCGTCGTCGTCGTCGTCGTCGTCGTCGTCTCAAGGTCACTGTCACGTTATACACGCCCACCCCACCCGGTCTCATTGAAACTCCTTTAGTCCAGGTCCCCAGATCTTTTTTTTTTTTTTCATCACTCCTTTTCTCTCTTCTTTTCTTCTTTTTTTCTCTCTTCTTTTCTGAAACCTTTTCTTCTTCTTCTCTTCCCATTCCTTTGTTGTAATATAGCACCTTTTCTCTCTTCTTCTTTACCTTGAAGAAGAAGAAGTAGAAGGGGAAGAAGAAGAAAGAGAAGCACGAGAAGAAGGAGAGAGAGAGAGAGAGAGAGAGAGAGAGAGAGAAAAGATCTGGACCCTGGGCCGGAGAAGTCAACTCTCTGTGAACCGGACACTCATCGTCGTGTTGTTGCCTTTTTTATTTGCCCAACATGACTTCGAGTAAGTCCTCTCGCTTTTCTACTCTACCCTCTTCTTTCTCCCTGTCCACCCTCCGATCCTCCTCGCCCTCCTCTGTATCGTCGTCGGAAGAAAACGACAAGAGACAGCATGTCGACGCCGCCACCACCGCCTCATCCGGTCACCGAGCAAGGTCTAGGCTCCGTCGGGACAAGTCGAGTCTTGGCCGCCTAGCCATGTTCAACCAGGGTCACGTCGTACCCATAGACACGTCCCTGGACGAAAAGAGGCGGCGCCAAGACGAAGACGGCCACGACTCCGTCCCTCCCCTTCCCACCTCGCCCATCACAACCAACAACACCGACACTGCCACGACCACCGCCAACGCAGCCACCAACACCACCGCCACCACCACACCTCGCAAACCCCGCGCATGGGGTAACCGCATCTCTACCTTTCTCCCCTCGCTCATGACAAGGGATATAGAAGCTCCAAACTCTCGACCCGGCTCAGCCGGCGGAAAGCAGAGGCCGCCGCCGCCACCCGAGATCGCACCCGCATCCCCGCCTCCGTACCGATTCCACGACTACGATTCTACCGGCGGCAGCCTCGTCCCCCCCCCGCCGGACGAGAATCCGACCATCATAGCCCGGCCTCCCTCGGCCTCCTCCTCGGGCTCCAACCGCTACCAGCCCCACGCCATCACCACCTCCGTCGCCTCCCCGGCCCAATCCCGGCCCTCCCCGCCGTTTGAGGCCATGCCTCCTCCGCCACCGCCTCCCGCCGATGCTCCCCCCCCTACTCCGACGGCAGCCCAGCAGCAGCAGCAGCAGCAGCAGAAGCAGGAAGAGCAGGACCAGAAGCAGGAAGAGCAGGAGCAGGAGCAGAAGCAGAAGCAGGAGCAGGAGCGGGAATCGTCACCATTGAAGGTGAAGAAGCGTACCACCCTCACCAAGAAGCAGGACCCGCCCCCGCAGAGGGACTCGGCCTCGACCCTGGCCTCATCCGCGCGCGCCTCCGTTACCGGCAGCGTCAGGGACGAGTCCAGCCCCCACCAGAAGCTGCAGAAGGAGAACCGCGACCCGCAGTTCTCGCCCGTCATGACCGCCGAGAGGGGTCGCCAGGCCTCCCTCACCCCCTCGCTGACGGCGCAGTCGCCCAAGAGCTCGGTCAACCGCGTCTCATCGCTGCCCCTGAGCCCCCCCCAGATCGTCACCTCGCCCTCCGAGGCGGTCGGCCAGAGCCCCTCGCGCGGCCGTCTCCGCCGCAGCTTCATGCCCGGCTTGAGGTCGAGGTCTGCCTCTGGCGACGCCGCCTCGTCCGCCAACAAGCAGACGGCCTGGGTCGTGTCCGACGGGTCAAAGGCTGACTACAACCCGGCGTTTTTGAAGAATGGTGAAAAGGTTAGCCGTCCCCCCCCCCCGGATTCTTATCGCATGCCGTGTGGGATCAGCACACTATCGGGTCGGGGATGCTGACATGAGCCGTCGTGAACGCGGTAATCAGGTCCCAGAGCTGTGGAACGAGAGCGGCAACGTCCTCGTCTACCTGTACCCCAGGGGCAGCGGCTGCGGCCCGTCCTTCAAGGTCATGGAGTTCACCGTCAACTCGTCCTACATCTTCAACGCCCTCCTCCAGGGAAACGAGGCGTCGCCGATCGAGGGCGGCCGGACGACCAGCTTCAGCGACCGCAGCCTCAACGTCGACGACAGCCGGTCGCAGACCCTGTCGCCCACGCTGTCCGAGCCGTCGGGCGACATGAAGCTCTACCTGCCCATCGCACCCCCCTCGGCCGACGGCGGCCAGCTGCTGGCGCCGGGCGAGACGACCGATTCGGACCTGGAGCGTCTGATCGCCATCAGGAACATGTTTGCCTTCCTGACGGGCCAGCCGCTCGTGGCCACGCAGGCCCGACCGACGACGTTCCACGCCTTCCTGCAGATCGCCTCGCTCCTGGAGGAGTTTGGCTTCACGAGCGAGGACGGCACGACGTTCGGCCCGGCCGTGGACATGAGCTTCGACTTCTACGTCGAGCAGCTCGAGCTGGCCGACTGCCGGCACAGCCGGGAGAAGACGGTCGAGGCGCTCATCCTGGGCGAGCGCATGCGTAGCGTGGACCTGTACAACGAGGCGTTCGCGCACGCGGCGGGCAAGTACTCGGCCATCATGGACCTGAAGCTCCCGCTCTTCAACGAGGTGTGCGCGCAGACGCGGCAGCAGCTCGAGAAGGCGCACTTCGACCTGGTGAACCGGCAGCACGACGTGAGCCAGAGCCTGGAGCACTTCGAGTTCCCGTCGCTGTTCGCCGGCACGGCCAGCTCGTCGGACCCGGACCTCAAGTACGTGCGGTTCAAGGTGTGGAGGAACTCGTTCGCCAAGATGCGGTCGATGGTGCTGAGCCACTACAAGTCGGTCTTCGGCAGCTGGCCGCCCAAGGCGAGCAGCAGCAAGAACCCGTTCGCCGAGAGCGGGCTGAACCGGCTGGTGCTCAGGACGCTCTACTCGGACATGTGCGCCGTGTACGACCTGCTGGTGGACCGGACCAACAGGACGACGCGGTCCATCGACGAGGCGCCGCCCATCTCCAAGAACCTGGCCAACCTGTCGGTGTCGGTGCTGCGGCGCATCCTGTCCGAGTCGGACCGGTCGAAGCCGCCGGTGCTGCCGCCGATCCCCTACGACACGCCGCGGCAGCCGTCCATGTCGTCGGTGCTGCCGACGTACGGCGCGCTGTCGGCCAAGGAGCAGATCAAGTTTGACAAGTCCATCAAGGAGAGCGACCTGCTCGTGATCCTGAACAAGTCGTACAACGCCGACACGAGCCGCGTCAAGACGGCCTTCCTCGACCGCTTCACCGAGTTCGAGCGCCGCGAGGCCAAGGGCAAGATGGCCCCCGACCTGGTCGACCAGCGCATCGGCTACTGGCTGTTCATCTACGTGGTGCTCCAGTCGCTGCCCACGCTCGTCGTTGACGCCCCCGGGCTCAAGTTCACCCAGGGGAGCGAGTACTTCCTCTGCGAGCCGCCCATGGGCAGCCCGCCGTGGTGCGAGGACCAGCAGGTCAAGAAGATGTGGTACGAGGTGGCCGGTGGCGGCGGCCTGGTCGAGCTCTCGACCGACACCATCCTCTTCAGCATAGAGGCCACCTACCACCGCAGCCACTGCTGGCTCGCGGCCAAGAAGTGGGACGGCGGCCCGGACCTGGAGGCCGAGGACGACGCGGGCATGTACCAGGACTCGGCCCTGGGTCCCCTCCAGCCCCCCCCCGCACTTCAGGCGGACGACGACTTCGTCGGCGGCTCCGCCCCGTCGCGCGGCACATCCCCAACGCCGACGCCGACGCCTCCCCCGGCCGGCAGCGCGGGATCGCCCCCGGTTACGCTGAGGCCGCGCAACCTCTCCCCCGCCGGCGCGGGGTCCCGCCAGAGCCGGCTGTCGCACGCCTACCGCTCCAGCATGGCCATGGGCCTAGAGCCCCTCCCGATGGAGCCGCCCACCCTGCCGTTCGGCAGCCACAACCGGAGCAGCTCTCTCGGCCCCCGGCCGGTGAGCAGCCTCATGGGCGCCAGGAGCAGGTCCGTCGGCAACCTGGCCGGTCTGAGCGCCCAGCACGCCGGTGGCCAGACCTCCAGGACGGACTCGCCTACCGGTCCCAACACGGGTGCTACGTTTGATGATATCCTCGGTGAGACGGATGCCAAGAAGAAGAAGAAGGAGAAGAAGAAGGGTTTCTTCTTCGGCTGAGTCGTCAGTATGGTAGCGGTGTCTTTTTTTCTTTCTTTTTTTTTACAATTTTTTTTCAACATCTTCATCTATTTCCTTTTCAGTTTATATATCATCTTGCTGAATAATTTCCTCCATCAACACTTTTTTTTCATCATAAAAATCTCACCGCAACGACGGATCTCGTTTGCATCTCCTCCCTTTTTTTTTCCAGATCGGCATGGCAGGTGTTCTATCGTCTTTTTTCTCCCTCCATCTCTTCTTTCGCGTTTCTTATCCTTTTTCTTTTCTTTTTTTTTTTTTTTGCAGTTTTGTACAGATTACTCTTTTGCTTCTTTTTCCTTTCTCGTCTTTTGATAGAGACTACGTCTTTTATCTGTCCTGTACGTTTTCCATTTCCTTGGGTTTTTTTTTAGTCTCCCTCTCGGAATCTCCTCTTTGATGTGTTGAGATAGATTGGTTGAAAGATGGAGAGGAAAGGAGGATGAAGAAAAAATGGTGTTGACAACGGAAGATGGCTGAAGATGAAAAGTGAACAAGTCGGAGAGTGCAGAGCAGAGCAGAGCAGAGCGAAGCAACACAGCAGAGCAGAGCAGAACAGCATAGCAAAACATGTAGTAGCAGCAAATTCAAGAGACAAGTGAAGCAGCAACATAGCAGCAGCCATAACAAAACAAGGATAAAAACACCACGGCCTGCGCGATCTGAGCAAACAACTTTCACTCTTCACTACTGGCAGCACTTGAACTTTGCCAGAACAGGCTCCATCATCTGGGGAGACATGAGAATGGACGCATGAGATTGTATTATAGATTGATTCAGCGTATTACTCTTGCGTTAGCTGGTACTGTACAGATTATATAGGAGTAGTAGTAGTAGTAGTTAGTTGATAAAAAGACCCCAACGCCGTCGCCATGAGAGAAAGGAGAGAGGAAAGCAAGATGAGACGAGACAGAGCAGAGAAGAGCAAGAGAAAGGAAGGTTGACCGGTCACTAATCCTTGACGCCAGAAACAGACCAAAGAGATACGCCCCCCTCCCCCCGAAGAGAAAAAAAAAGAAAGACCAAGACAGGAAATGAATGGGGAGAAAGAAAGAACAGAGTGGAAGGAAACGTGACGGAAGCATGAAGGAGAAGGAGAAGAAGAAGCCTACAGCTCTATCCTCGTCCACCTCCCCCTCTCGGTATGCCACCACCTCTCCCGATCCTTCTTATCAGCCACCGGTCCCTCCCGACGGTTCCAGGCGCCGCAGCAGCCGCGCCGGTCGGCATCGGCCAGGCTCTCGCCCGCATCGGTGTACAGGTCCTTGAGGTGGACGGCGCCGCCGCGCTCGTCGGCGGACCCGGGGTCAGGCAGGAGGACGTAGCTGATGGGGCTGCCGAGGGTGCCGAGGAAGCCGCCGACGCCGAAGCGGTCGACGACGGAGCCATCGTCGTCGGTGACGGTGACGCTGAACCGGTGCCTGGCGCGTGCTCTCTCGAGGCGGGTCTGGGCCGAGAGGCGGGCGATGCGCAGGTCGGTGCAGGCCGGGGGGGCCGGCACGTCCGACCAGGCGGGCGGGAACTGGGGCGTGGTGGGCGTGGGGCGCGGGGAGGCGAGGCCGAAGAGGAAGCTGCTCGGGGAGGGCAGGGGCTGGGCGGGCGGGAAGGTGGGGGTGTCGAGGGGGCCCGAGGCGGGGGAGAGGGGCCGGGGCATGTCGGAGGCGCAGAAGCGGTCGGTGGGGAGGTCGATGCGGTCCAGGGGCCGGCAGAGGCCCTGGAAGACGGCGTCCGGGTCGTTGGGGGCTCGGAGGACGCGCAGGGCGGGGAAGCCGCCGGCGGCGATGCTGCGGGCCAGTATGTCGTCGGCGACGTTGGCGCAGTCGCGGTGGCTGGTGATGTCCCAGTGGATGGAGCGCAGGCTCGGCGACGCCAGGTACGGCATCATCCACAGCGAGAAGACGTCGTCGTCGTCGTCGGGCATCATGGGCGGGAAGGTCTGGGTGAGGGCGAAGCTCGCGAGCGAGCCCAGCTTGGAGAGGATGCGGGCCAGGGCCGGCAGCGACGTCAGCGGGGTGTGGCGCAGGCTCAGGCTCCGGAGCGGCTGGCTCTGCGGCCGCGTCGCGAAGGACGAGAGCCCAGCGGACGTGATGCCGGGCACGGCCGTGAGCGACAGCGTCCGGAGGGCCGGCAGCGACAGGAGCGTCGAGTCGCTGAAGGAGCCGGCCGGGAGGTCGCTCAGGTGCAGGCGCTGCAGGGAGGGGAGCGCCGACAGCGTCCGCGACAGCAGCGTGTCCGACCCCAGGCCCGCCCCCGGGTAGCAGTGCATCGTCAGGCAGGTGAGGGACTTGAGGTGCTGGTGGAGCTGGAGGAAGGCCGGCTCGATACCGGGGTCGGGCTCCTCCTCGACGGCGGAGGCGGGTGCGGCCCCGCCGAGGTTGTGCGGCCGTCCTGCGGCCTGGTACGGCGGCGGCGGCGGCTGCTGGTGTTGCCTCTTCTTCTGCGCCGCCGACGGCTCGAGGAGCCAGTTCAGCTCCCTGAGCTCGGTGCGGGTGGAGAGGGCGTGCCACATCTTCCTGAAGCCGTGATCGTAGCCGGTCAGCGGGCCCGACACCGTCTCGAGGTTGGGGCAGGCCATGATGAGCGACGCCACCAGGTCCTCGTACTGCTCCAGCACCTTGGCCGTCAGGCCCCTGGTCTTCGGCTCCGGTCGGGGCACCTTGATGGAGCGCACGAGGCGCGCGATGGCCGGGTCCGCTCGGAGGGTCCGTCGGAGGAGCACGATGCGCGGTCCGTAGATGAGCTTGAAGCGCTTCTTGAGAGTGGCCGAGTCGGCGCCCACCAGTTGGATGTCGCCGTATCTGGTCATGGTGATGCGCACACGCACGCACACAAAGGGTCAGCTTCACATGTTCGGCAAGTATGCACGCACGTCTCGCGTTGCGCCGGCTAAGATGTTGTGCTGTACATTGCTGCTGCCGCTGTGGCGGTGGTGGTGGTGGTGGTGGTGTACATTGTACTTACAGTGCCGCCCGCGCGGGTTTGGACCACCTGCGTGATGTGAGGCTGATGCTGCAGACGTCGCGCATCCAGCACGTCGCGCACGTGCCGTCCTCGTCGTCGTCGAGGTGCAGGCTCTTCAGGTGGTCGAGGACGAGGCCGAGGACGGCGTCGGGCAGTCCCCCGAATATGCCGTCGGGGCCGGATCCCCTCCGGTACTGCTGCGAGCAGGCCCCCGGCGAGCGTGGGCCGCCGCCGCCGAAGTCGACCGACTTCCAGTTCCCCGAGTCGAAGGAGTCGAAGCTCGTCTTGCTGCTCGACGACGAGGATCGCTGCATCTCGGACCGCGCGCTCTCGCGGGAGAACATGGTCGAGACCGACGACGCCGACCCGTTGGACAGCTTGCGCGGGGAGTTGAGCGCGGTAGGCGGCGGCGTCCCCGGTACCCTCTCGCCGGCGGTGGCCCAGTGGCTGCCGCTGCGGTTGACGCTGCCTCTTCCGTCGACGTCGTTGCCGTCGCCGCGGGATGAGCGACGGCGACGACGACCGGTGCCGGTGCCGGTACCGGTGCCGGGCGATACAGGGCTGTCGGCGCCGTCCTCTTGGATCGCGTACATGTTGTTCAGACCCGAGGTCTGGATGGGCGGTACAACGACTGTCCGTGCCATGTCTTCTGCTGCTGCTGTAACGGAAAGCCGTTCGGTGGGAGGATCAGATCAGGTGTATTATGTATGGTATGGTACGTACTGGACGCTGCCGAGGTCGAAGGTTTGTCGGGCGAGTTCAGTATGCCGAATTCACTCGCTCAGCCGCACCGTTACACCAGATTTTGCGTGTGAGTGAACTGATCATCGAAAGCAAAGAAGGGGGCAAAGAAATCGAGATGAAAGAAGGAAAGAAATCGATCAGTTTGGCGACAAGGTAGAGCTGGGAGCTTGGGCGGCGCGGAGAGGAGAGAGAGAGAAAGGCAGAACACGGTTATTCGCGAGATGGAAAGACGGATAATACCAACGCGACTTGACGTCTCTCAAAAGCATGAACAAGGGTAATAATAATGATAATATACGCTGCTCTTTTTCTTCTTCCCTTTTTTTCTCTCTTCTTCAGAACATGTGCCGACCTTGTTTAGGACAGATAATCAGTCTCGACCGTGAGAAGTGACAGGAGAAGAAAGAGAGAAAGGAGGATATAAAAAAAAAAAGAAGGATAAAAAGAAGAAAAAAGAAGAAAAAAAGGAGAAAAAGAGAAAAAAAGAAAGAAAAAAAGAAGAAAAATACAGAAGAGGCGGGCGGGGAGTGCTGGACAAGGGAGTATTAATTTGCGAGCAAACCAAGTAACTGCACTACAGACGTATCGTTACCACGTTACTATACTGTACCTTTACCAGGTACGGACTGTACGAGGTAATACGGCATCGCATGGTACGAAGTGTGAACGGCACAGCTATTCACCCGTCTCTTACGGTTGAGCAGAGAATCAATCCCCAGCCTAAGTCGTAACTCGTACCTGGAGAAGGGGTGGTTGGCCTGTCTCGTCGAAAGGGGAGGAGAGGGGGGGGGGGGAGAATGGACCACCTCAAGGGTCCTGACGGATCAGCATCCGTCAGCTATGGAGCCATGGGTTGATGAAGAAAGGTACGAGTACGGTACCGGTATCGACAGACACCGATTCGATGGACATTGACATTGGCTAATAAAAGAAAATAAGGGTCGTCGTCATTGTCGGCGCCGCCACGGTAAAGAAAAAAAAAAGGGGGTGGGTTGGTTTTTTTTTTCCCCTCGAATTTTTATTTTTATTTTATCTTGAAAAAGATCGCTTTTCTTGGTCAATCTCTACAGATTACACTTGTTACTATCAGAGGGAAACCTGAGGAGGGGGGGCTTTCTTCTTCTTCTTTTCCTCCACATCCGTCTGAGATGATTCTCCGCATCGAACCAAGTTGAGAAGTCAATGGCAAACATGTCAAGACGGGACTTGGGGGGGGGGCGTCATTCAAAAGAAAGAGAGAGAGAGAGAAGAGAAAAAAGAGGAAGAAAAGTCGACACGAGAGAACCTTTGAAGAACCGTTCATTCTCCCCTCCTCCCTCCCCCCGGTTCTGTCTCTCTCATGCAAGTAGCCAGAGAGGGATGGCTCTTCATCAGGGATGATGTGGAGAGACCCATGACAGGGATCAAGTGACTAAAAGGGTCAACTAGTTACTATGCCGTACTGGTAATTAGTCGTTGTCATATGGGATAGGGGTAATTGACAAGTTGACCAGGACTTGCGACGTACAGATACAACCATGGCTCTGTATCTCCGGGGGGGGGGGGCGATGTTTTTTTTTATTAAAAAAAAATTAAACTTGAATTTGGAAATAGATAGAAAAAGCATTCATCTACGGAATCAGTGCTTCGTGTAATCCGTAATCCGAACAGAGTACAGAAGTACGGTGCAGCATCAATCATGTAAGGATGTACAGGTAAGTATTATACAAGCAGTACGAAGCAGTACGAATAGGAGCCGTATTATGAACACGCCTCGCTGTGGAGAACAACAAGAGTACGAGTACGAGCGAGACGAACAGCCTCCATGTATGGAACGAGTAGATGAATTGCGGCATGGCATGATGGGGGTTTGTAGGAGTAGCAGGGATGTAGATGGTAATACTCCGTAGTCTGTCATCTGTACAGATTACTCCGTCGCAGCATCAATCGACAATACCTAGCCCCCCCCCCCCCCCCCCCCCCCCCCTCCGTAGCATCAATAATCCGGACGGTTCAGCTGAGAGGGATGCCTTGATGGGACGACGACGGACGCTGCTGAGACCTGGAGATTCGACAGCTGCAGCCTGCAGTGCAGCAGGTACGGAGTACGGACCGTTGTTGTCTTTTCCGTCACCATCATCGTCATCATCATTACTATTATTACTGCTTTTGTTATGAGTATGGTTATGATTATTATCGTCATGGCATATATATTACCGAGTCGTAATAATAATAGCAATAATGACAGAGTAGCATCTGCGGGGATGTTCCACGGGATGTAGACTTGTATTGACGGTACCATCATTCGATCTGTCTGTTGTTGCTGTTGTTGTTGTGTCATCATCTAATAACGATACACGGGGGCGTACTGATACACGTACGGGTAATGATATATACAACCCTCTCCCGTATCCCTCTTCTCTCGGTTTCCGCGACACGGGATACCCGAGCAGGCGTGACCGAGGAGGTGACATGAGTACGACCTGGAAGTCAAGGTCGTAGCACACACACACACAAGGTCCGACTGACATCTCGCCTCGGCACTCTGGTTTACATTACCCTTTTTTTTACGGTTGCATCGATACTACTCTTGCTGCCTCGCACGCACCACCACTCATGGGAAAGGAAAGGGGGGGATGGAGACGGTAGAGAGAGGGAGAGGGAGGGAGAGAGAGACACACACACAAGAGGACTCTCTTGTTCGTCTGTCATGGGTGCAGGTCATGATGGAGCAATTAATCATCAGTACAGGTATCAACTCGTAACAAGGATAGACCGGGAGAAGAAGAAGAAGAAAAGGGCACACAGTAATGATGCATCACGAGAGTCGCGATACAAGTCCCGAGTACGTACACTATGAGCACGCTGCACTACGAGTGCACTTCTTTTCTGTCATGTACGCATTTCCCAGTAAGGGGAAGAGATGTAGAAGTTCAGTTTTAGAGATAGAGATCAAAATAAAGAGAGAGAGAGAGAGAGAAACGGGAGAAAGAGGCATCACATTGATCTCGATACAATCATGTAAGAGAAAGGACACAAGAAAGAGAAGAAAAAAAAAGAAATCTCGGAACGCGGATTCGAACCGCGGACATCCAGATAATACACTCGCAGTTACAGTCTGGCGCCATAAACCAACTAGACGATTCCGAGTTATACGACACGTATCTACTGCGCTTTATAAAACAACTCCGTGCTTACCTACCCTGTTTGCCTTCATCCGTCTCGGCCAACATCACCACCCCGGCGAAGACGGGAGAGGGAGAGAGAGAGATGATGGAAGACGGTATATCGCATCAGGTCACTATCGCATTTTTATATCATCTTGAGAGAGAGGGAGAGAGAGAAAGAAGAGAACAAGAACCATTTTCTTTTGTCACCTCTTGAAAAAAAAATTGAATTTTTTTTTTTAAAAAAAAAAAAAAAAGAAAAAGGTACGAGTAAGTACACCCACGTACAGTCTTGGGAGGACTGAACCCATTACCCCGCGCTATGCAACGTCTTACACGTCATCTTCCAAAAACCCCTGCCCATCTTTTCTTTTCTTTTCTTTTTTTGCTCCTGACTGTCTTAGTTTCTAGCTTGACCAGATCCTGAAGATTAGACAAGAGCTTTTTTCCTCTTCAAATCTTTCTTTCTCTTCTCATCTTCTTTATATACATATACATATACATATATATATATATATATGTTGCCATCATCCCATCATTCTAAAGGGAGGAGGGCGGAAAACTGGAAAGAAACGAAAAAAGAAGACAATCATCCGTATCCTTAATCCTAAAAAAAACCAAAAAAAAAGAAAAGAAAAAAGGAAAGAAAAAAAAAAACATCCGCAGAGAGATACCGGGACTATATATACTCGTACAGATCTTACAAGCTATATACGCATGTATAGATCGCACAAGCAATATCAGGTGCGATACACGCTCTACCCTGCCCTGACCTTCACCCGAAGCGCACCTTGCGTGTAGGAGGCCGAGCCGGATCTTGCTGACCACGATGCCCCGGACCGTCATCCCATGATCTCTTGGCGCTGCCCTCTCCCCCGAAACCCGACACCACTCGCTCACCCTCCCGGTTGTTGTCTCTGCTGCTGGATGAAGAGAGGCTGTCGAGGACGAGCCCGTCATCCGGATGTAGCGCCCTGCCGAATCCAGCACCGAACACGTGATGTGCTCCGTCTAGCGACGCCATCTGAGCCACATCATCTTGATCCGATGCCGCTGTCGCTGCCGTCGCCAGTAGACCAGTCTCTATGGTCGGATTCTTGATCCAGTCGAAGATGGGTCGGATGTCGAGAATCGTCTTGGCCCGCCGGTGCTCCGCCGCCGTCATCTTCCTCTTCCTCTCGAGGATGACCTCGTCTATGCTGTCTCTGAGCACGAGCGTCTCGACCGATACCACGCCCTTCTGGCTGCACACCCGCCTCGCTCTCCCGATGGCCTGCGCCTCGACCTGGGGGTTGAGGACCGGGTTGATGAAGTAGATGCGTGAGGCCTCGCGCATGTCAAGCCCAAAGGCGGCCTGAGACAGATCCATCAGGAGCACCCTTTTTTCCTCTCCCGTTTTTTTCGGCATCCCAACTGCGTTAGCAATCGTTTCCTGCTCCAACCC